CCTAACCCTAACCTAACCCTAACCCTAACCCTAACCCTAACCCTAACCCTAACCCTAACCCTAACCCAAGATCTTACCGAACAGGACATCTACACGGTCCTGGGCGCGAGTTCCCAGCTCCGCGTTTTCCACCTGCGCCTGAATGGGTTTGCGGTCCCTGACGAGTCGCTCGAGTTTGCGCCCGTTGAGCTGCCGAAGCTCACACACCTCACCGTCTCCCTCTCCGCTAACAGCCTATGCGGGCTCTTTCGCTGTCTCATTCTCCCTCAGGCTCTGGAAGTTCATATTGAGACTCGTGTGAATGCTTACCCCATCTACGTCGCCATCCCTTTCGTATTCTATCCCCACAATGCCTACGCTGTTTGCGACACCATGGATAGCTTTTACTATGCGGCTCTCTCGCTGGACGCGCCGGCCACATCTCTCGTCCCGCATTTTGGAGTCCCTCCCTACGCACCCGACGCGTACACCTTTATCGGGCTGGATGTCGCCTTGATGGAAGTGATCCCGACCGATGCCGAGTTCGCGCCCGGCCCAGAGGTTATTCGTATTGTCTACGGTGGCTGCCTTGCGGATGTGCTGCATTGCATGTCCGATAACGCATGCGGTCCCACCGGAGCGGACGATGTGCCTCATGTTTTGCCCTGCCGCTCTATTGGTGTCCGTGCCATTGCGCCCTCCGTCGACATTGTAAAGTACAAGCTGCCCGTCAGTGGGCCGCCGGACGCACTGCGCGACCCGTTCGCGATCACGAAGGTCCTCGGTCCGCTCAGAGGGTTGAATCTCATCCCTCCGCAAGCTTCCGTCGTTTTGGGGCCTGGATCCTACTGCCCACAGACCACGCTTCAGTGGTACCTGTGGCTCGACTACATAAAGGCCTCCGTCATCGTCATCCCGGCACCGGTCTTCAAGAACGGGAGACCAGCTTCTCCACGCGGTATGCCGCAGCTGCGCGTTTTAGCTGGCTATCTGCGCGACGGACATGTCAACAGTTGGGGCGGACATCACTGGGAGCGGCACCTCCGCTGCGTGCGGGTTGCGGTGGAGTGTCTCACCGACGCCGAGCCTGTAGAGGTGCAGCTACGGGATTTGACGCGTTGTGGGGAGAGCAGGATTGACAGTAAACGCGCTGGCATTAAACTCAAGTGGGTCCTTCTGTAAAATGCATGAATGTATACGTTGTATAGTAGTCTTCAACATATCGAATTATCTTGTGCGCTCGCTGTACAGATCAAAAGCTTTAGTACAATGAGACGGTCCAACCGTAGCTGTATTGAATAGGAACTGTGCAGGGTCAGACGTTATCATAACCCCCTCAACCGATCTTCTGCCAAAGGGGATAACTCTGGGCAAACATTTACCCCCTCAACGTGATTGTGTCTTGAGGGGACATTTATCGACGTCTCCCCAGACTAAGCGGGACTGGCATTGGCAAAAGTGAGACGTAGAATACGCATTGGTGGGCGGGGATTCGAACACCCGCTGTGGTAGATTACATTGAAACGTATACCACAAGACCACTACACCTGTCTCGGACCTATCGCATCACCTTAACAGCACTATGGTACAGTCGCTAAGGAACTTACGTTTCTTTGCGATTCTCTGGGTTCGAATCCCTGGTGTGCTGATGACGGGGGAATCTTCGTCCTTATAGGGGATATCCTCCTCATTTTGTCGTCTCTAGATTCGAGTCTGACTGGCCAGGTGTAACACACATCTTTTATTGTCACGGCACTATGGTACAGTGGCTGGGCCGCTTGCAATCCGTTGCGTCTGTCGGGGTTCGAATCCTCGTGTGCTCCTAATGCAATATCCATTCGTGAGCTTTTGCATCTACTTACACAGCACTATGGTAGAGTTGCTAGCCCGCTTGCGGCCTTTGCAACTTTCGGGGTTCGAATCCCCGGGTGCATGTTAGTGGAGGATCCATTCGTTTTGCGTCTTTACATCCCAGTTGGACTCGCCGGATGTGACGCGCATCAAGTATACTTACACAGCACTATGGTAGAGTTGCTAGCCCGCTTGCGGCTCTGGCAACTGTCAGGGTTCGAATCCCCGGGTGCTCTTAAGTAGTGTAATAGCCAGTTTTGAGTTTTTGCGTCTCTGCATCCGATTTGGAGTTGCCGCATGTGATGCGCATCACGATTACTCGCATAGCACAACGCATAGCACAGTGGTACAGTTGCTAGCCCTCTTGCGGCCCTTGCAACTGTCGGGGTTCGAATCCCCGAGTGCTCTTAGTAGTTGACCCACTGCTGAAGTTTTGCGTGGCGCAATTGTGTCAGGAAACTGTGCTGCAATGAATACAATAGACGGCAATCTAGAGTTTAGCGAAGGAATCGTAGTCCTAAGCCTAAGGGGCGGCGCGCCTGAGCACGACGCGACTTTGTGACGCGCGCCGTGACCCGCGTTACATCGACGCCCCCCCACTGTTTCGCCTCTACAGCTTTAAGTTTTGACATATTTTAGGTTTTTATTGGATAGATCTCTTAGTTGAGCAAATTAACATAGGACTGTGTTTTTACTTTCTAACATTCCGAGCACCTTTGCCTAACCCTAACGACTTTGGTGTAGTCCTAACCCGGGCAAAAGTGACTTCAAAGGCCCTAGAATACTGCTGAAAAACGCTGTTGATAGAAAAGGTATATTGGTAGTGATGTTTGCTAGCCGTACAAGTCCCTAATCTCCCGCCGCAAGTCCCAGAAATAGTACACCAATACACATGTATAGTACATCCAGCGGATGGGGTCAGCTCAGAAGATGCCTGCACTCTGGCTGCCACCGTTGAAGGCGTTGCAGTTGACGGAGAAGAGACCGGACTATGGGGAGCGTAAGCGAGATGTCAAGAGTGACACGAGGAGACGACTCACGAAGTGGCCACCGTCGCAGCACACAGCCTGCTGGTTGCACTGCACACCGCCGGAGGTGTCTGCGATAAGGGGAGAGCACGCGAGGCCGACGGGGGCGTTCGAGCCGCGGAGCGCGTTGGGGATGAGCTCGTAGATCTCCGAGGCCTTGAACTGCTCAAAGTCGACGGTCTTGGCCTGCGCACGGCGTCAGGTAGGAGCCATGTACAAGCAATGCGCCACGTACCGACTGGACCTGGTTGCAGCACTGGAGGTCGCCCTTGCTGCAAGTGCCGACGGGCGCGGGGACGTACTCCGAGTCGGTGTAGCATGAGTAGTCCTTGCACTAGACGTGTAATTGTGAGCGGTGCGAAAGGAGAGAGAAGGGTAAACTAACCGGCTTGGGTGCCTTGTACTCGTGCTGCATCTACAAAACGAAATCAGCATGGGCGGGCAGAATTCAGACACAGCGCGACGTACGTTGCGGCGCTCGAAGTTGTCCTCCCAGGTCTCGCCGTAGCCAAGACCGCGCTTGTCCTCCTTGGCCTCGTGCGCGTAGTGCTCAAAAGCGTAGTCGTAGGCCTTGTCGTAGGCGCTCTCCTTGTAGCCGTACTCGGGCTTCTTGTACTCGACGTCGTGGTCGTAGTCGTTCTCGGGGGAGTAGTCGTCCGAGTGCTCGCGCTGGACGTGGGCAGCGGCGAGTGCGACGGCGGCGGCAATGATGATGGCGCGGGCGAACATATTGAGGTTGGTGTGGAGAGGGAGAAGGGATGTGGGCTAGTAGTAGGTGTGAGTCTTCAGTGATGGAGGGACATCGATTGAATACGCTCGACGTACTTATACCGACCCATCGAGATCCCGCCAACCTCGACGGCTGCGATGCGCGCGCACGACTCAACGTATGGCTGCCGCTTGCAATGAAGTTGCATGCCCGGCCCCGAAAACTCAAGTTTCAGACTCGTTGAGGCGCCTAGAATTGACGTATTGCATGCCCTGCTCGCAAGTATACTGTGAGCGATTGTCTAGCCGGGCCTAGTTGCACGCACTCTCGACTTCAAAATGCGTCATGAAGTGGAGGCCATCGCATATGGGCGCCACTCCGCCGGGTGTGGATCATGCTCGTTCCTCGCCATCTTTGCGGTCGATGCTGGCGCTTATGGTCTCAACCTCCAGGATTTCATTCGTCCGAGCAGACCAGCGTGGAGCTAATATCGTTCATAATTGTATGCGGAAGTTTATGGAAACCGACTTCTCTCGTACGCGGGTCCAGAGTATTCACAGACAGTGCAGCGAGATAGCGAGCCACGTCCTCCTCTCCATCGTATATTCGGCTTGGACCCAGGTCTCTAAGAGTCTCGTACATCCGGAGCGAATGCATGCGAATCTGATTTCGGTCAGGCCGAGGAGATTGTGTAGATCCTCGCAGGTGGATGGCTAGCCGTAACACCGACGAAGAGCGCCCGGGACGGTATGCGTGAACGCGGAACGTCAGAGAGGCAATCATGAGGTCGACAACAGGAGCATCGTCTCGGGAATCAAGCTTCTATGAAAGCAACTGTTCCATTATCGGGTTCGCCGGGTGTTCGAGGCTATTACAACAGGTGTACGGAGGGGTGAGAGTCGATGCGGGGCGGGTACGTTCTTCGAGACAATTTGGCATGAAGCAAGCTCAGACGCGTCGCATACACCTAGTACGAGTATATGATGGTCATTTGGGAGGATACTATCGAGCGAAATTCGGGGTGGAAGTCAGAAGCAAGGCGAAGACTGGGTGAGCGCGACTTGAACGTTGTCGCCTGAGCGTGTGACACGCGCGACCGCGCCGCGAAGGCCGACTTGCGCTTGCCGTCAGCGCCCGCCATCTAGTGCCACAGCTAACAATAAACAGTCCTGCCCTCTTCAGGTCTAAACGTGTCTCTGCGCCACCCGCCCGACAAAACCCTCAATGATACCAGGTCCGGTACGAGCGCTCGGGCATCGCCGGTTGTTTGATGATCACCGCCTCGATCCATAACCCCTGCCTGCTCTCCCTGCTCGGCTTACTTTCCCTCAACTACCATGTCTGCGATGACTGAGAGAATGAGACCCGCTCCGCTCATTCTGACCCCGCCCGACTCACCCACCGCGCCTGCCAAGGGCTTTCGCGGCGCCACCCCGCCTCCATCCTCGCCGTCTTCACCGTCTTCGCTCGAGTTTGAGGCCAAAGACAGCAGGCGTATGAGCCGCTTGCCACCTCTGCGCCGTCCACACCGCGCCCAGGACGACGCTTTTGTTAGGCGTCACGTTCTCGGTGCATCCTCTCCCATAAACGTGGATGAGGACGAGTACACGGCCGCGGTGCCAGACTCTTATGCGCCCAAGCGCAAAGGATTCCGCCTCTCCAGACTGCGTACGTGAACACTTGCCCGTGCACGTGCATCGAGATGTGCTGAGTAGAGCTATCTGTAGCATCCGACGCTCCCGCGTCCACGCACACGAGATCAGATCCAACCGTACATCCATCTGCATCTACCGCTCCCAAGCACAGCTTATCTTCTCGGCCGCAGCTGCCGACACCATCGCCTCCTGCGCCGTCGCCACCGCGCACAAGCCGTCTGACCGGCCCGCGTCCTCCGCGACATTCACGCTCTTCATCGCTGTCTACGCCTAGCGCAACCATCTCGGCGCTCTTCCCGTCAACCGCGCCCGCATCAGCAAGTTCGGCATCAGGCATCTTCACTGCGTCACCATTTCCCCACACTCCTTCGCCACTCCCGTCCACTGCGACTATCCCACCCTCAGCTTACACGCGCGGCCGCACTACCTCGCTCAACGATGTCGATTCCACTTCCCTGCCTGGCGCAAATGCGTCTTCCCCGCCTTCTGCTTTTACACAAGGAGGAGCGTATATACGCAAACGCACGATCTCGCTTGGAAATGCGGGATTGACCATCAACACCGACATCAAGCCCGCAGGACGGATGCTCCCCATCCCGCGCCGATCTAGTTCGACTGTACCCGCACCAGCACCTGGTCATACAGCTCGCACAAATGCGGCCCCACCACCTTCGCTATCTCGTACGACCTCGATTTCAAGCGCCGGTCGCCATACTCGGTCTAACTCCAGTATGAGCACGAGTACTCGCCCTCCCTCGCGATCTTCCACCGGCATGCCCAGGCCCGCAGGTGCTCGCGCTCCCAGCAGTAGCAGACCTCCATCACTAGCACCACTCGCGCGGCCGTCTGCCGAAGCACCTTACGCAGAAACAGCATATTCGGCTAGCAAACCCGCGCCGTCGCCCGCAGTCTCCGTAGGCCGACGCGAGTCGTACAGACCGCTTCCACCAGCCCCCAGTCGCCGTGCTTCCGCCCAGGACTCTCATGTTGCGAACCCGCATGGTGTGGACTCGACACATGTTCCGATGCACACACTTGATGTGCCTATGAGCGTCACCAGTACGTTCCCACATCTTTTGATAGAGACAGCCGGCGCTGATCGTGATCCCTGCAGCTTCTCCCGCTCCGTCAAGCGCGACGTACGTCGAGACACCTTCACTAGCTCAGTATGTCTCGCCGTCGTCTAAGCGATCACCTGCGGACAAACCCACACTCGAAGCTTCACTCACGCGCGTAAAACAAGAGCGGGGCTCTGATTCGGAGCAAGACTCGCCCGATGAAGTTTACGACTATCGTGCGCTCAAGCGGAATGCGAGGAATAGTGGACAACACCTGCTCAGAGCCGATGAGCCAGCACTATATGGAGATGGAGGAAGTGAAGATGAGTGGGAGGAGCTATCGGGGCACGAGAAGGTTGTCAAGGTACGTTCGTCCATCTTCATTTGCTCTATCAACTATGGTGTATCCCTCTTTGTGTTGTACTGAAAATACACATAGCCTAGTCGCACGTCGACGCTTTTTGCACTAGGTGCACACGCCGTGCCACCCACGACTCCCGCGCAGCACGACATACTCTCACCTACTTCCCCCGACCAGCACGTATCGCCAGCAAGATATAACCAATACGCCGCGATGCCCGAGACGCCCGCTCATCTGCAAGAGCCTCCCGCCTCCGCGCCCATCAACCCGCCCAGCGCTGATTCCATGCGGTGGGCAAGTTCGGCACAATGGACGGGCGTCGTATCGTCTGGCTCGGAGTACTCGGTGCCCAGCACAGTACTTCTTTCGCCACACCCTCCGGCCTCCGCGCCAGTCCCGCTTTCGGCGCCTCCGAATGCAATGGCGTTTGCTCTGGCCACAAATGATCGGCTTGTCGAGAGTCCACTCGCGAATGCCGAACGCGCCTTTGGCCGGGCGCTGGCGGACGCGAGCGACGATGCACCTAAGAGCGTACCTCTCGCACTTCGTCCCGGCCACTCTGATTCTTCGACGAAACCTGCTACGCGCAAGCCCGTCTCACCGAAACGCGCACCCGCCACCCCGGACAAATCGACAGCATTCTTCCACACCGCGCCCTCGTCTCCGAAGCCCAAGGCCAGCTCGCCTACGTCGTCTGCCCCTGCTCCGGTCAAGAAACGTCGCGCAAAGAAGACGAGCGCAGACGCGAGCGGGTTCAGCTTCGTGCGAGGTGCTGATGGGCGTATCACGCGTGTACCGGTACCTGGAGGATCCCCAGCAGCTACGATCGCTTCCCCAATGCCCCCTACTTCGAAGAGGCCTCCCAGCGTAATCTCCGCTGCGAAGACATTGGCTCCTGCCGCCGTGGTTCCCTCCGTCTGCGTCTCCGATTCCGCCTCAGAAGCGCACAGCACCCCACCCAGTACCCCGCGACTCCAGCGTCTACGCTCGAAACGGTCATTCAAGACACCATCTCCTGCGCCCAGTTTACGCGAGATCAGACCAGCGCCGAGTGCATTCACTGGGATAGGCATCTCTGAGGCCGATGACGCGGAACCTTCGGACCCGGCAGCTGCGCTTCAAAGGCTGAACGGAGGTGCTTCGGGTAGCGGTGCTTCAACGGAAGATGGCGAAGGTGTTATTGTTCCCCCCGCACGTCGAGAGTCTCTCGCATACGTTCCTTCTCGCAATAACTCTATCGCGGCTCGTCGCGAGTCCTCTACCACACACTCGCGCCGCTCCTCGGTCGTAGGTCCGCGAGCGCCTGTGCGTATCAGCGTCGGTGCGGCACAGCGCAAACGGCTGTCCAAGAGAATGTCCGTACGTAGAGCAGCCCCTGATGCTGGCTCTACCGCCGGCGATAGTGCTACGGCGAGCGGTTTGCAGACACCCAGAGCACAAGACGTAGAGCCTAGTACGGAGGAAGCGAGGATGGAGAGGCTTGATGTGGAGGACAGTGCGCTGCGCTCTCGCGGTGCGCGTTCGTCCGCCAGCTCTTCCGCGCCGACGCTCACTCTATCCATCCCGCCCTCGCCATCCATCTCAGCGCCATCAACGACTGTGCCAACTCAGGCCGCTCAACCCGTCGCTGTGCCCGAAACACCCTCACTCGATGATCCCGGCGCCCTGCCTTCGCCGCTCAACACTGCCACAATGCCTTCTCCCGGAAGAGTTGCGGAATGGACTCGCGCGCGATACCGCGACTCACTCGTGCCGCCGCCTGGAGAGCCGCCCGCATCACCCAATACTATCCTTCGCAGGCTGCGTGAAGGGAATGCAGGCAGGAGTGAGGCCCCTCCTCGACCGTCTTCACCTACGATCGCGCTCGTATCATCTGCAGAAAGGCCGAACGTCACCGAGGCGGCGATTATATCTCATCCTGCACGCGAGGGTGCAGGCTCGCGAGGCGAGGGTCAGGAGGGTCAGGTTCAACGCGTGTTCACGGAGCTGGATCGCGCCCTCCTGCTACTTGACGTGGACCCCGAGCTCGAGCTGCCCGAAGACGAGCCACTACCAGCCTACATGCTCACTGCAGCCGTAGCGGATGGCGAGCGTAGTCTTGACCGCGGACCGCGCAGACCACACGGCGCGATACGCCCGCCACCCAGCTACGCCAGCTTAGGTATACGGCCTCCAAAACCGCAGCGTACGGGCGGTGGTGGTTTGCGAGCGTTGTTCGCGAGGAATAATGCGAGCCGGAACACTGTCGGGGATGAAAGCGGAAACGAGAGTGAAGGAGGCAGACGACGCGGTTTGAGGCGCTTCTTCGGTAGCGGCAGCACTGGAGATCTTCGTATGATGGAGGCAGAACCGCGTCGCTCAACATCGTCCTTGGCGCCATCCTACATGTCAACAACCGGCCGCGAACTTGCGCCGCCGTCGTCGCTCAGGCCGAACGCTTCGTCTATCAACGCGCGCAGGCCCTCGCATGCTATGAGCCTTAGTGCGGATATGGCTAGCAGCGAGCCGCCTCGCCCTGAGAGCTCTCTGCGCGCCGGCTCGCTTGATGTTCGTAGCTCGAGTGCTATGGAGCTTAGCAGAACCGAGACTAGGCAGAGTGAACAAACGACGCATTCGCGCATGGACGAAGACTCGGCGGAGGCGTCTCCGTTCCCGAGTAGCACACCTTCCGTTGGCCGGCCACTCCTACGCGATGGGCGCATTCTGGTGTACCCTGAAGGCCACGAATGCTCTATGTGTACGTTTGACTCACTTGACATCTGAACCGGGCACTTATGCTTCTCTCATTCACAGGTAACAACACCGGCTTTGCGCACGACGATCCAAACCACGCATGCGAGATATGCTGGAACAAACACTCTCGACCCTTCACGTCGGTCCTCGCGCGTTTCTTCCGTCGTGGAGTTGCGAAGAAGGACCGTGCGCGGCTGCAGAAGCCACTGCGCGCACCGAACAGTGCGCCAGGGAACATACAGAGCTTTGCTGTCGGTGAACAGGCTGGTCCGAGCGTCACCGCCAGTACGCACTCGCACGCCAGCCATCGTCACCAGTGAGCAGTGCACATTGGATATGGAATCTGGATAGAAACGCCGGTTTAGTTTGCACTTCGCCTGCTAAATGGACTAGATGTATCTGGATTTGGATGTCTATTCGTATTGGATCACACTCATTCGTCGCACTAGCATGTACACATATTGATATTTCATTGTAGCAATATTATCATATTATCTATGACCTCCTGTGCCACTCCGTCTCAATCGTGACTATGATCAACACGTTCCATAGCTGACTACTATGTCTACTTTGCTGATTGCGAAGCAACTGATCTGGCCTTTCGGTTTGGCGGTTCAGATAGTCTGAGTATACGTACTAGAATGAGGACAAGTTTGCACGCTGACGAGTCTTTTCGTCATGCAGTGGCGCAGTGACATCAGCCTACCACTCGATGACCTTTGAGACGTATGCCCTTTGAGAGGTGACTTTGTAGCAGGCGATACACACAGAGACCTGCACAGTTGACCAGTGTCCGTTGCCCTAAGCGGTGGGAGAGAAGATCCAACCACGCGACGCGCCGGCGCGCTCATAGCACGACTCTTCCTCAACCATCATCATCTCAGGGTGAACAGAGTCCACCTCGAGATCTCGCACCATCATCATCTGATACCTACTTGGCATTACTTCATTTATACTCTGCTCCTGCTGTGATATCATGGTCGATACCGAAGGTCTGATGAAGAAAGCGGAAGGGGCTGCTGAGTTGACAGCCGTCACCGAATCGAAACGCCTAGATCGCCTTGAGACGCATGCCCTCTCTCTGTCGAGTCGCTTTGAACGATTTGGCGATCTCAATGATCTTTCGAGCGCCATCAGCATCTTCAGCCGTTCTGTTGAGCTAACATCTGACGACAATCATGCGTTGTCCCGGCGTTTATACCACTACGCGCAGTGCTTGCGTGTCCGTTTCGAGCACTTCGGAAAGTTTGAAGATCTGGGGGGAGCCCTCGAGTCTATCAATAGATCTATCCAGCTCACAAACCAGGATGAGCCTCCTGAGGTTGCGCGGCGACTGTGTGCTCTCGGTCTCCTCCTATTGGCACGCTTCCGACGCTACTTCGAGGCTCTGATGACTTCATTCGGGGATGTCGATGAAGCTCTTCATGCCGGTCGTCGTGCTGTGGCGCTCACGCATGATGATGATCCCGAAGTCGCACAATACCTGAGCCTCGTTTCCAACTGTTTGCTCATACGCTCCCAACACTTCCGTAACACCGACGAGCTCAGAGAAGCTCTCACAACATCTCGCCGAGCATTGGAGCTCACGCCGCCCGATTCTTTTGAATCTGCAACTATACTGGGAGACGTAGCATGTTTCTTGTTGGCCCAATACAACGAGCATCACATACCCGCAGACTTGGAGAATGCTGTTGAGACAAGTCATCGAGCTGTTGAGCTCGCAGCGGACAATCCCCTGAAGCTTTCAGAGCTATCGGCGACCTTCGGTCTCGTTGTATGGACTCGTTTCAAAAACAAGCATAATCTTGGTGACCTAGACGATGTAATCGAAGCGATGACTCGCTCTGTTCGATTGACACCTGAAGGGCACGTTGAATTGCCCATGCGGTTGAATAGACTCGCGTTGTACTCTCGCACCCGCTTTGAACGATTTGGCAGGCGTGTTGATCTTGACACTGCTCTTGAAGGAGACCGCCGTGCTGTCGAGCTCACCTCAGCTGGTGACTCTACACTTGCGCACCGGTTGCTCAGTCTCGCGGCATCACTCCAAGCTCGATTCGATCATCTCGGCGAGTTGAACGATGTAGACAGCGCCATACAAGCGTACGACCGAGCCCTCGACGACACTCCTGTGAATGAGTACAGCCTCATATATCCTCAGCTCATGAGTGGTCTTGCGACCGCGTTGCGAACCCGCTTTGAGCGTACCGGGGATCTTCTCGATCTCGAGAGGGCATTGGATGCGAGTTTCCGGTCCGTCGAACTACACCATCCCGAAGATCCCGAAGTCCCTCGATATCTCTGCAATCTTGCCGTTTGCTTGACCGCTCGCTTCAATCAGTTCCAAGAGCCCAAGGACCTCGAAGATGCGATAGATGCAAGTCATCAATCCCTAGCTCTCACTCCAGAGGGGCATACTGAGCAGCGGTGGCGGATGATGGGTACCGCGATCTCATTGAAAGCCCGTGTCGAGTACAAGGGCGAGCTCTCCGATCTCGACCAAAGCCTCCAGCTCGTCAGGCGCGTCATTGAATTGACAGACGACAATGATCCCTACCTCCCCATACCCCTACACCTCCTTGCTACTTTGTTAAGATCTCGATTCGAGAGTCTTCGGGACGTGGATGATATCGAGAGTGCTCTGAAAGCCCACCATGAAGCCATCGAGCTCTCACGGGAGGACGATCCACGCCTCGCTCTATACCTTCATGATATTGCCGTCACTTTGCGAGTCTCACATGAGACGATTGGCGACGCAGATGACCTTGAGCGCGCTCTACGGGTGGAGCGTCGCTCACTCAAGCTCACACCGCACGATCACCCTGAGAAGTCGAAAAGGCTCTTTCACGAAGGCTCACTTTTGCGAACACGCTTCGCGTCGAATCGTGTACAGCAGGAATTCGACGCAGCAGTGAACTGTTTCATGGAAGCAAGTAGACACCATCAAGTCGGTGATTCACGATGGCGCTTTCAGTCTGCCGAAGCGTGCATTCAGCTACTCGTCGAGCACCCCGAATTCAGCACATCGGCGGTCATGTTGCTTGCATATTCACGCGTTCTGGAATGTCTTCCTGAGCTACTTTGGCTAGGGTACAGTGCACGGCGACGCTTCGTGGGATCGGCACAAGTAGGCGTATTAGTCAACGCGGCTGTAAGCTACGCTATTGAGCACAGTGAACTTGAAAGAGCCGTGGAGTGGTTCGATGCAGGCAGGGCTCTGGTCTGGTCTCAAGCCTTGTCGATGCGCACCTCTCTCGTTCAACTTGAGCAAGCACTGCCGGAACATGCCCAGATTCTCAAAAATGACATCTACCCGGAGCTTCAGAGACTAGGATTTCATGTCCACCGAGATACAGCATCCACTCACTCCGCACCTGATAACGAAGCCTACACTGGCCGAGCAGTAGTCAGAGAAGATCCCTCGAAGCCCCGAAGTTCTCGAAAGCTATCTGCGATGGAGGAGTATAGACGAGTGGCGATCGCGTACGATAAGCTGCTGAAAGATGTTCGCAGTCAAGAGGGTTTCAAAGACTTCATGCTTCCCAAGAAGTTTCAGAACCTCACTTCAACGTCTCTGTTCACGAACTTGCACGGAGCTATTGTTCTTATCAACGTCGATAAAGCTCGATGCGACGCGCTGATCCTCGCTTCCGATGGTTCTCTGAAGCTGGTGAAACTGCCGGGCTTGACGCAGCAACGTGCCGAGCAGTTGTGCTCCATCTGGGTTCGGTATGTGGGCCTGAACAGAGGGACTCGGCGCGGCGCAGTTCCTCCACAACATGTCACCGTGAACGGGGGCTCCAACATCTACGGCCGTGTTCTGGCTCGCCTATGGGCATGGGTAGTACAGCCAGTCTTTGACGCCCTGGACTTGGTAAGTCAGAAGTCGGAAGGCTGGCGGATGAAGACGATCCTGATGCTTTCAACCGTAGACTTCAAAGTCCCACGCTGCCGCCCAGGAACTGCCGCACATATTCTGGTGCACCACAGGTCCGCTCAGTCGGCTGCCGTTGCACGCGGCGGGCGTCTACGATAAGGGTCAGACCGGCCATCATGCATACGATTATGCGGTCTCATCGTACACGCCGTCCCTCTTTTCACTGTTAGGCTGCCATGATCGCGTGTTAGAGAAACCCTCGCCACCTACTTTACTTGTGGTCACCCAATCGAATACCCCGCGCTCTGGTTTGCCTCCGTTGCCGGGCGTGCGAGACGAGAGCAACCGACTTCGCACCCTCTTCGAAGCGCACGGGCACTGGAACTCGCTACTTGAAGGAGAGGACGCGACGAGGGTCCGCGTGCTTTTCACCGCCTATGAGCACTCTTGGATACACTTTGCGTGTCACGGCTCTCAAAGTTCAATCGACCCCACTCTGAGCTCGATCGAATTGTACGACAGCCCACTGGCACTTTACGAGTTGACGGGCTCCGACTTTGATAATGCGGAGCTCGCGTTCCTATCGGCATGCGAGACGGCCGTTGGAGACCTCAAGATACCAGAGCAGTCGGCTCATCTCGCGGCCGGGATGTTGGCAGCAGGTTTCAAGGGCGTTGTTGCGACAATGTGGTCCATCAGAGACCAGGACGCGCCACTCATTGTCGAGGCGTACTACCAGAAGTTGCTCGAACTTCGCGGGAACAACACCGTTCCAAAAGGAGAGACGGGTGCAGCATATGCTCTTCATGAGGCAGTGAAGCGGCTGAGGGAGAAGGTCGGGGAGAACCACTTCGAGCGTTGGGTATCGTTCGTGCATTTCGGTATCTGAGCCCCGACAGCGAGAAAAGGGATGTGAAGCAGTGTTGCCATGGACGGCGTCTATGATGTGTATAGTAAACAGGAGTGGAATACATTCTAACCTTGACATCCTTGTTAGCACCCTGATCGACTTCAGGCTGGTCATTATGACGAACTTTGTACTTGTATATGCCTGCTCTGCTTCCCACAAAGAGTTGATCTAGGCGGAGAGCTAATGCCATTTCCGGTGTTCTAGGGCGTCCTCGATCACGGAACATGCGCGCTCGACCACGGCATCCATCGGGAGTTGAAGCGGTTCAACCAGCGTGAGCCCTGGTAATACTGGCGCGCCATTGTCGATATCCCCATTCTGCGAGGCGTCAGAGACCCCTAAAGGTAAAGAGTAGTGTGAACTCACTTCAAACATATGGCGGTGTGCCTCGACGTAGGCTGGATATACAAGTTTGTCCCTACGAGGCAAGTCAAGCGTTAGATAGCGGTTCAACCAAAATAAATGTGCTATACACGTACCAGTACCCAGGAGGGTCCTTCCAGAACGTGCCCTCTTCAGCAGTTAATTGTTCTCCGTGAGTAAGCGAGTCAAATCGTCATCGCAGGGGGAAATGGCAACATGGAGATATATGGTAATGCGCGAGAAAGAAGAGGCGAAGAGGATGAGGGTTGGTAGTGACGGGTATAGATGCAAGACATACCCGCAGTAGCGTAACCTGAGCGCTCTTCCCGGCGCTGCTTGAGAGTTTCATGTGGTACACGAAGGAAGATCTTCACGTCGAGCGTATCAACGACTTCCTAATAATGTCCTTCAGAGACGCGTCACATAGATCCGAATTCGAGGTACAGACCTTATCCCAGTATAGCAAGAAACCGTCGACGAGACCCCATACGACACGGACGCCTTCTCGCTTCTCAATCTCGCGCTGCTTCTGCACTATGCGGGTCTTGACACGATCATACGTATCGTCTGTGACAGGTACAGGATTCTGTGCGTTCAAGTGGTCGTGTGATGAATGGTCGGCTGGAATGGTGGCGGAATCTTTGACTATATGTAGGAAGGATCGTAAACGGGGCCAGTCAATGGCCGTTGGGGCAGAGTCCCAGTCTGCGCCGAGTTCGGGATGGATAGGAAGCGTATTTTGAGGCTATGAGGATTCTCCATCACATATAGCATAGACTGTATAGATCAGGCCATTCATACGCACCGGCGCAAAGTCCTGCACGATGTCATGAGTCATCTAGACGGCGAGAACGTAGAGATCGCGTACGTCTTGGTGAATGATGAAGCTATTAGGGAGTACATTTCTCAGATGCTTGGCGAGAGTCGTCTTTCCCGAGCACGTAGCGCCCCTGGATTGGCGTCTCAGTGGCGCCGCTCTGGGCACACGACGGAGAGGAGAGCACACCCGACCCCGACAAGGAATACGCGAGTTCGCTCAGCCTCAGCTTTCTCAGCTGCGTTCATATGTCCATCTCGCGGCAAAGGTTGTGGCGATGGTGCCGGTGCTGGTGCAGATGGGGCATCCAGCATGGTCAGCGAGTTGCTGGTTGCGGATAGAGATGTGATCTCGGCGGACCCGAGCGCATACTTTCGGCTCCGGACCGCGGTTCCGATGTATGATTGCCGGCGCCTGCGGTGGTCCTCGCCACACGCCCCTGAGTGAGCCTGGGAGGCTGAGTCAATATATCAGAATATCGCGCCTTCGTCTCGAACGACGACGACGCTCGACTCGCGATGGAGAACCCACCGGTGGAGACACTCCCTACGGAGAGCTCGCCATTGATAAACGGCACCGCACGCCCGCGCTCTGACCGTGCCCGCTATGTGCGGCTTGCTGTGCGCGCGGGGCTTATCCTGCTGTTCGTGATTGCGCTGTTCCTCATGCTCTTCCTGGTGGAGGGTGTGCATGAGGGTGGTGAGCGCGGCGGACGTGGCAGATGGACAGACCGCCTACCCAAGGACCCGCGTAAGGCCGCCGAGATCTTGCTCGATCGTGCACCCGTTATCGTGCGTCGAACCTACGCGTCTTGCTCGACTTATTGCTGAAAGAGCTTCGATATAGGATGGGCATGTCGGTATGTCTTACGGGAACCCTAAACAACCTCTAGTTTGCTCAATCATCTCATAGACCTACCGTGGCTTGTTCGCTATACGGACGCGAACAACGTCTCGTCAATTGACCTCTCTAAGACCATGCCCGGCCATGTTGACATCCCTCGCCTACGCAAAGGCAAAGTAGGAGCCTTCTTCTGGTAAGTCTTATCTTTACATACGTTGACTACCACTGACTGCTTGGACCGGCAGGTCTGTGTATGTTCCGTGCCCTGCGGACGAGGGTCTAGAAGATGGCGATGACTTCACTACGGCTACCTGGCGCGTCCGGTGTGTATGGATCATGACATCGTTATGCATCGGTTGCTAATACCGCTTCAATTAGGGATACCCTTGAACAGATTGATATCTCACACCTGCTCATCGAGAAGTTCTCTGACGTGATTGATTCTTCCTCGCATTCTCCCGCTCTTGTCTGAGCAACACCCCTCCAGACGTTCTCATTGGCCCGCACGGCCGCTGACATCAAGTCCGCCATCTCAACTGGCAAGATTGCTGGCATCATCGGCCTTGAAGGGTGCGCTCGAGCTTCCAGCGAGTATTGTGCAAAGGCTAATCCAATCCTGACAGCGGTCACCACCTCGGTAACTCCATTTCGACTCTTCGGACGTACTATCAGCTCGGCGCTCGTTACCTCACTCTCACGCATACTTGCAACAATCCGTTCGCAACAAGCTCGGGCATGGTACCACATCTGACACCAGAGTCCATCGTAGAGTCGCAGGGCCTTAGGTACGTATACTCCAACAGCATCTGTGCCCCTTTCGGTGATTAACTTACCTCGCAAGCCCTCTCGGACTTGCGCTCGTGCGCGAGATGAACCGCATCGGTATGCTGGTGGACCTCTCGCATGTATCGGACGCAACCGCTCTCGACGCGCTCAATGCTACCCGCGCACCCGTCATCTGGTCGCACTCGTCTTCCCGCTCCTTACGCAATATCCCTCGCAATGTGCCCGATGAAGTCATCCAGCACGTTGGATTTGGCGCTGGCAAGGTTGATGCTGTCGTCATGGTCAACTTCGCGCCCAGCTTCATCTCCGACAACGCAGACGACGCAGACGTGAAGGGTGTTGCTGACCACGTCGACCACTTCGCGAAAGTTATTGGTGCTGCGCATGTTGGAATTGGCTCGGATTACGATGGTATCCCCTCGACCCCGCACGGACTCGAAGATGTCAGCAAGTACCCTGCGCTCATTGCGGAGTTGCTCTCCCGCGGCTGGAGCGCGCGCGACCTTGCTGGGTTGACGGGCGGAAACTTGTTACGCGTGCTGGAAGGCGCTGAGCGCGTTGCGGCTCAGATGCAGCGCGAGGGTGTGCCGCCAGCGAGCGAGATCTACGACAAGCGTCCGGACTTGCCTATGCATGGCGGCGAACTATAAGCAATTTCTCTGAATAGTTAGCTGGTATCCTCTATGTCGAACGATGCTTTTCAAACTGCCATACTTATGCGCCAGCATACAAGTGCCAATATACATCACAGCCATGGAAGTGCTGGGGCTGGGGCTGAGGGGTGACATATATGGTTGACGTAGGTAGAATTGACAAAAAGTAAATATATGTTCCGACACAGCACAGACGAAGCTATTGCGGGTTGGCCGGAGGGTTTCTAAAACCAAAAACATCAGATCGCCGTTCAAGCAGTAACCGAGTACCGACGACGGGGCTCGAACCCGCAACCCCCGCCTTAGGAAGGCGATGCGCTACCATTGCGCCACGACGGCGTGACGGTAGATTACCTTTTAATATGTATAAGCGTTGACTCTTTCCTGACATATGAGCTCGATCGCGAGTCGAGAGTCTCTTGCCACTTCTGCATTGCGTCCATCACCTCCATCTTCCGTTCTTATTCGATTCTCTCATGCAGACCGAAACTCGTAACGGCGGGTGGCTGTCTTCGGACGTCTGGTCCAAGATCGTGGATGACTATGCATCGCCAGTGAACTTAGGGCTGATGGACGTTGTCCCTGCCGAGGCAGACAACTCGTTTGATCCCTACGTCTTTTCTGGTGTCTCCTGCAGCGACCTTGAAGATTGCCTCTCCATTGTCCCCGCACTCTCTGCCGTGAACAGGCAACTTCGATACCTATTGCAAGGTACAGACGCGCCGCCTCGCAGGTGCGTGCTAGTCACCAACAAGAATGCGAGGCGGGTTCTTCGGACTATGGAGGCCGCGGGGCCCTCTGACGAGCAGACATCCGTCGCTCATCTTGTCGTCGTTCTTCATATGACACCAGACTGGATGATGGGTTTGCAGACCATGAATCGCATACTGCACCTCGTGCACGACGTGGAGATACTCTCCTTTGGCTCGATGTCGTATTCCGACGGGTTCGACCTCGATACTGTAGATGGAGCAGAACTAGTCCTCCAATTCGCGCGCAGTGTCCGAACTTTGGAATCGAGTCTCCTTCGCCTATCCTTCTTGGACGGCGCACGCTTGCTCTGCGGTGGCAAACCACACTATGAGATGCTGTTCATACTCAACGCGTGCACTCGACTAAGGAGTGTTAGCTGTCATCGACAATTTCTTCCTTCGGCGTTCCAACCAGCTCCACAAGAGCGTGCCGATATGTACGCGTTCCGCCGCGACTATCTCGAGCGCTGTCTCGATCATGTAGCCATCGATTCTCCCCATGCGAAGTGCTGGGATCGTTCAGAGATCTTCAATGCTACCCACCTGCACTATGTTCGCGACGGGGACCCACGATACAGCACCGGTCCAAGCAACCCCATCAACGGCGCCGTCAGGGACCCCATCATGAGTCCGCTCACCCATCTCTCGCTCGTCATGTCCACTCGACCGAGTGCGATTGAAAAGGACTTTGTCGCGTTCGCAAAGTACGTGCCTCGGCTGCGTCATCTTCGTCTGAGCGCGCCTCTCTCGCAACTCACGGCGTCGATGGCGTTGATCCCGCCATCAGTGCAAAAGCTCGTACTCGTCGTCGACAACAGCGTATCTTGGAATCCGCACCTACCCCCACCCGAGACACTCCCATGGGAACGTCTACATAACCTTCTGCTCTCTATGCGGACCAGCTCGCGATCACAACGCATGTGCGCGCTCAGCCATATCCAGTTCATGCAACCTGCACTTGCAAGGCGTCTCGAGGACGAGATCGCTCAGAGGGACGATGTAAAGCGAGAGATAATCGGTATGCAGCTCGAACTCTTGGACGACGGAGGTTTGCTGTTCGAGATCTGAGGCTGGCAGTGCGCTGCAGTTGTTGGAGGCAGCTATGCGTCCGTGGCATCGACGCTCACATATGTGTACAACTATCAACGAAGACACGATGATCTGCCCACTCTCAATGACGATAACCCTGATCATGACATCATGTATACACCAGTAACACAACAACATCGTGGAGATAAAAGTACAATGTGTTTATACAACAGCAAGCAACTGAACAGCGTCAGAATGCCTCTCAAGGCTTGTCCTTGCGCGCGAGAGCGCGGGCGATCCGAATACGGTACTCCTCTTCCGTCTCACCCGCCTTCTGCGCGATCTCCTCACCCTTGGCCTTCGCCAAGGACTTCGCGTCTTCCCAGCGGCGAACAAACTGCTCCTCCGTCTCGTTGGCCTTGCGCTTGAGATCATCTGCGACCTTGGAGGCCTGGTCGGCGACATCAGCCGCCTTAGACTTGCCCCAGCCGAGCCAGCTAAACCAGCTGGACTTTGCAGCCTCAGCATTCTGCTCTGTTAAGATTGTCAGATATGTTGACTGTGACATAAGGTCGATGAGACTTACTGGTTGCCGCCTTGGCGTCGTCGGCCACAGATTGGGAAGAGGAAGATGCAGAAGAGACAGCGCCATTGACCTTCGACTTGGCGTCCTCGTATGTGCGGTTGGCGCTGTCCCTCGCAGCATCAAGCTTCGCTTGTGCACTGTCACGGACATCGCGTGCACCAGCCGCAGAGCGTGCGCGGGCATCAGAAGCGGCCTCCTGAACACGAAGCTTGACGTCTTCGGCCATGGGTCCAACATGCGCGGTCTTGCTCTCGAGCTCGCGCTTCTCCTTCGCGAGACGGTCATCTTCGAGAGACACGTAATAGGCGTATGCACCGCCCGTGACGGCCGTGAGACCGATGATGACAGGCCACGGCGAACGCTTCGGCGCGGTGTTGTGCGAAAGGGGCGAATCCTCAACGGCAAGGCGGCGAGCAGATGCGTGAATTGCACGCGGCGCGGGAGGGGCCACGCGCGAGACGCGGAGAGTACGTGCGGCGTTGCGTGCGGCAGTCATGATGGTCGTTGAGATGGTGGTGGTTGGTGAGAGGGAAAGAGAGTTGGTGCGAAGGTTGGTACGGTCATGCGGGGTCGAGCGCCGCCTGTTTTGTACGCGGTTTCATCAAAAACGACGTCATCGCGTGGCGTACGGCTTCTGTGCGCGCCTCGTGAAATCGCGTCGACTTTCGAGACCTCCGTCTACAGCGGTCAAGAGATGACGCGTTCAGAGACGCGGTGCTCCGGTTGGGAGCAACTTCGGCGTGCAGACAGGAACGCGATGAAGTAAGTACAGGCGAACTGTGGCCCCGGCGCGGTCACGTGTGTTTGCAACTGTCACCCTTAGCAGCAACTCCTTTCTCCTTCCGGCCCTGAAGCTACCGATCAGAGGGAAGTAAGAACGGAAGACGTTAGTACAGCAAATGTTAGCCTTTAGGTACAGGGTTTTTGTCAACGTGTTCGGCACCAGCCGCCAATGCCATTGGTGCCGCCGGCCTGCCGAGCTTGAGGTTGCGGCAAAGAGTGTCATAATTCAACAGCCCATATGCCGAGCACAACAAAACCGTCAGATAGGTACGTCATACTTTTTTTAGCGCGTCATCCTCGGAATAATCGTGAATCCCCAGCTCGCGGGCTATACGAGCCATCCTTTCAACGTCGGCGTGACCAGTGCGCGAGTGGAAGACTAGATCCATCCTGCACGTTGTGAGGTCAGAAAAGCCATCCATGAGGTCGCAATGAATGATGCGTACTCTTCCAAAGACTTTCCATTGCTCTCGGGGAGGAGCGTGAGAGTCCAGAGGCCACCGAGAGCCAGAGTGCAGATGAAGACGATGTAGGTCTTCCACGTGATATTCTCGAGCATTATCGGCACAGTATACGATACGATGAAGTTGTTCATCTGCGAAAGGACTTAAGTGACTGGAATGGGATACAAAATCGTCTTATGCGACGGCTTACCCAGTTGGAGGAGGCTGATAGAGCAACCCCAGGACCGCGCAATGAAAGTGGAAAGATCTCCGCGATGATGCACCAGCTGGTAGGTCCCCAACTGAAGCCAAAGCATCCGACGTAGAGCCAGATGCAAACTGCGGTGAACCAAGATGCCCCGCGATGCGCATCCCAGTTGTCACCGAAACTTGCATCAAGAGCGGCGACCAGGATCAAGAACACCATCATGCCCGCTGTTCCCGTGAGCATCAACGGGCGCCGACCGATTTTGTCAATGAACTGGATGGCAGGTATCACTGAGACCACGAAGAGGCAACCGATGACACCCGACGCGAGTAGCGAAGTAGTGTTGTTCGTGAGACCGATTGAGGTGAAGATCGTGGGGGCGTAGTTGACAATAGCTGGAGGAGACGCCAGTGGATTATTATTTAGCTCCATGCGTATACTACTATCAACACTGCAAGGGGAGCTCACCATCTATCCCAGTCCATTGCTGAAAGAACATGGTAAGACCGCCAGTTGCCGTGCGCTTGAAGTTATCCCAAGTGCTGAAGAGAGTGGCGATCTCCAGGAGCTGTGGAGCTAGCATGAGGATCACAACGAGTGACAAGGATGCAAAAATGTACCTCAATCGCGACGCCGGACCAGAGGCCTCGATTCACGAGGGCCGGGTAGCGCTCCGCTATGATTTCCCTCTCTGCGTACGCATCAGTCCGGGCCGGTGACCTCTCTATACTCCGCCAACTAAGGTCTCACCAAACAGAGCTTCTGCCTTTATCTCCAAGAACTCTACGTTTACGAGCTCGTCGTCTTGATCCGAGTGTCGGATGTATCCGAGAACGTGTCGTGCTCTCTCTTCCTTCCCGATACTTACAAGGTAACGCGGAGACTCTGGTACAAGCCAAACACCGAACATGAGCATCAAAGCTGGTATGCACTGTACGGCGAGAGGGAGACGCCAGGACACGGACGAGGTTTCCGAGATGAAGTTCGTGCCGTAGCCAATCCAGTAAGAAACCATGATGCCCACTATAGGTAGAGTCAGAGAAGATCTCGTCGAGTAGCAACCACAGATGGGACTCACAGCACACTGCGAACTGGAACAAGCTCACAGTCGTCCCGCGGATCTCAGCGGGCGCGAGCTCCGAGAGAAATGTAGGCACGGCTGTCGACATCATGCCCACGGAAAAGCCAATGAAGAAGCGACCAGCGAAGATGTAATCAGGGTTCATGGCAGCCTGTGGACGAGTGGGTCAACCAACGTGCCGAGTATCAGCGCTTCCCCTGTTCGGCGCTTACAGTTGTGAGTGCAGTGCACCTCCAAGTACACACATGAAAGATGCTGCAGATATTGCCCATCTACGCCCGAATCGCCCGACGAAGTAGCCGTTGAGCAGAGCGCCGAGCCATCCACCGAGTGGCAGTACGGATACAGTCCAGCCCTTGAATGACGAGTCCGTGGCGATTCTTGAGAAGCGAGGGTCATTGGTGAAGGAAGGCATCACGAGCACTTGTGCATCTGTAAGTTCTTGTGTGAGCGAAGTAATCGACCCTAAACTGCGCCTCGCATACTTACAAGAACCCTGTCTAAACGGATACGGATTAGCCTATGCATTTTCCCTGATGATAGTCAAGCGCGGTGCTCACTCATATCCATAGTTCAGACCGCCTAGCGCCGCAACAAGCGCAATGCTCAGTAGACGCGGGTTCGTAACCAAGCCTTCCACTCCGGTTCTGCGACCGGCAGCGAGCTTCTCGCGCCGCTGTGCAAGCGCGCTCACTTCCGCCTGGTTCATCCTGATGATCACGACGCGCCAGGAAGCACCACGGGAAGAGAAGGTGGCCCCAGGTATATATGCGGGAAAAGAGACGCGTATACGTGAGATGTTCACGTGTCCATCCGAGCGCATCCCGTGGTACGAAAAATGCTGAAGAAGGGAGACTGACGAACCCTAACCTGCTGATGGCCTGATCTTTCACTTTGGAAGGACGTAGGAAACGCGCGGCGAGGCTCGATACAGGCTGATGTTCCGGCGCGCCTTCGCCATATAGATACCCCTCCACTTGAGGGAGTGCATGCCCAGGAACCTTTACCACGCAAGCAGAGAAAATCGGGCGCACAATATGATTGACGCTCAGAAAGCGAAGTTCAGTCTGTTTCGACTTGACAGCAAAGGCTAATCAGACACGCTCAACAAACACTCCCGAGAAGGACAGGCCCTCTTTTGTGCCCTCCTGGATGCCGAAATGTACTACGTCGGCTTGCTCCGAGGGAGTGTCTTTGGGGTCAATAAGAGGTAGCTGGGGAGCGGTAAGAATAAGGCGACACTTCGTGATGACTGGTTGCAGACTGACCTTCAAAACCGCGATATGGAAGTCGCCCTGACCGGTGGGCCCACTGACCGCACCCACGTTCGATTCGACTGCAGTGACCCGTCGAAGCTTATCGTCTTCAGTCGAGTAAGCCGCCTCCAGCGTGAGCGCATCCCAGTTGACGGCAACGGCGAAGTTGTGCCATACGGTCGGCGTGAAAGGAGTTGAGAAGACGACGGTGCCGTTCTTGGAGCGAACCTTTAGATGATGAGATTCGGGCGTTGCTGTAGTGTTGAAGGGTGTCCCTGTCGAAGCGCTATACATGAATACCAACTCGAGGGGGAGAATGTTGACACATACCTATCTGTAAGTCGAAGACGTGCGAGCCATCGTTGGGCTCTATCCAGACGACTTGATATTCGTGCGCAAGGTTGAGAGGGTTGCTCAGATCTGCCTGAACAGAAAAGTGGAAAGTCGTGTTCCCAGCTTCCAGCACTTCGTCGTTGAATGCTGTCCTATTGGCACCTGGAGCGGAGGGTTGGGCGATCAAGTCTGTGCGCCGGAAGCCAAGTTGAGGAGTCGAGCCTCCGGGAATGAAGATTGAGGAGTTGTCGATAGTGATGAGTATAGGACGGTCAACTGCGCCCCAGAGAGGTGTTCCGGTTCCATACGACACGCTTGTATACTGCGCTGTCAATGAGATCGAGTACAACGACAGAGAGGATAGGATCTACCTGTGTGGCGTTCGCACTGCCTTTCACGACACTGCGTACAGATGTCAATGAGACATGTACGTTGTAAATGAGCAGGTCAACGCACCTAAGATACGGTCCAGTAGATGCCTCTAGGTTGCTGGCTGTATAGTTGGCCCCCAAACGTCCATCGAAGAGGACGGTCGCGTGGGCGCTAGCGAGAAGAGCTGAGATGATGAGCAGGTTCTTGACCATCACTGAATGACGATGAGTCGCAAGACGCTGCGCGTCTCCTATAAGTAGCCCAGTCAAGCTGGTAGTATTGGTCTAAAAGGAACATCGTCGGATTAGTTTCGTCAGCTTCGATGGGGAAACCTTCGGGGCGACGGCTGAACGACAAATGGCGCTATACACAGTCAAAGAGTGCTGACGGAGCGCGGCTGTTGCTGTGTCGATGATCGACGCGCGGAAGAAGGCTTGTGCTAGCGCTAGCCAGATCGGATTCAGGTGCAAGTCATAATCTACGCTTGGCGCGGCTCTCATAGGCTTAGACGTGACCACATTACTTTGAGTAAGATACAGTGCGACTGCTGGTGCAGGTGGGTATCTCTTAAGCATTCAACGGACGACATAAGGCTGAGGGTCCTGCCAGACTTGTGGTGGTTGGGAGCAGAACACGAGGCTCCCACAAGCTCCCACGCCAGTCATATCAACTGGCGGCGTCGCGATCACGCGCCTTATTGACAAGACGCGCACCACGCTCACCGCGCCTTGCTCCTGAACCACCACGAGCGCGCGACTCACTCGCGGAAGATATCCTACCTGGCAACTGTCTGGCTGTGACATACTGTGCTATATATCTGCTGTATCATAATCGCCATGCCTAACAAGTCCAAGTTCTCGATTGATTACTTCTCTGCGTTGGACGGTCTGACACAGGTCTTCCTCGTCGGGTCAACAAGATTCGTGTTCTTGTCCTCGGTATTTGGTGAAGAGTGGACCGTACGGCTCGGACTTGTTGGAGACGGGCGCTGGTATGAGGGTGTATGGAACGCGGAGGATGTCTCAGCCTTCGCGTCTGCAGCGGTACGCACCCTAACCACAGCAAGGCTTGGTGCAAGAACTAAGGTCTCTGAAACCATGATAGGGCCAAGACACTTCAGAGAAGCCCATGCGCGCTCTGTGTGAGAAGCTGAGGCTCACTATTGAGAAGGGTGATCTCGGGATCGACCATTGGGATCCCTCGGCGTCTAGGGCGAAAGAGATGGAAGTGCGTAGAGTAGTCTGTGGATTCACACGTTTGAACTCATGGTTGCTGCCAGTTCCTCATCAGCCCGAAGGCGAAGTATCCCATTGCTATTCCTCTACGGCAGATGAGCGTATCCGAAGCTTCTCGCTTCACTGTGAACTACATCACGAAGGCGCGTGTTTTCATGATGTGAAGCGGCGGGCCCCTATCTGAACAACCTCTTAGTTCGCAGAGTCTACCAGATTTGGCGACCTCAGTTTTGCCGCTGCCGCTGATACGGAACGTACGCCTAAGGCGCCTGGTACCGGGCACAAGCGCCGCCGTTCGCCGTCGCCGACCCGGAACTCGCAGTACGTACCCACAGATGAAAGCGGTTCGTCCGCCCCTCCAACGCCCAAGAAGCCGCGCCGGCCCGACACGAGGCCCTTGCAAGCGCATCCGACTCTCAAGTACCATCACACCAGTACGGGGTCTAAGGGCTCCAAAGTTAAGAGCAGAGAACTGAACAAAGATGAACGCCATGAACTGGAGGAGGTCAAACGCGCACTTCAACGCGAGAGAACCTATAGGGAGGAAGCCGAGAAGCGCCACCGTGCCCGAGAGGCCGAGCTGCTCGCTGCGGATCGTTTGGCAGGCGGGTCCATTGACAGGCTGAGGAGCCGTGAGTTTTGCATCAAGCGCGACGGCGTATGTGACTTACATCGTGCTAGAAACGTTGGTACCGGCGGTACCTCGAAGACCGGGTGCATCGTTGGCAAATCCGAACCAAAGGGCAAGGAAATTTCAGAAACCAGAGTTTGCTGATTCAGATAGCGATTGATTGCCTCATTACTGGACGTTCGTTTCACGCTTGGTTCTAATGGCTGTAGGGTTCGTCTAGGCCCTGTTGAACACACGCTGGGAAGGTAGCGTTGCGACATCAAATGTCTGTTCAGCAAGGGCTTCGTGCCTTGTGCTGACGTCCTGTCGATCCCATACGCGTGCGGTTTTCCAACAGAAGAGACTTTGGCTTGGCACCGTAGTATCTGTCAGTGGCTGTCTATTGTAATATGTAAAATACGTTTGATCGCCGGTCTATAGCCCGTATAGTCCGCCCGGTTACTTGAAAGAGACACAGCTGCTGGATAGATGTCCACCTGATTGGACGAGAACCACGACAGCTCAGTTGCGGTACCTTCGGCGTACTAACCGATGCTGTCAACCTGGTGGATGACAGGTGGAACGAGCTTCAGAGCTTCGGGCAGCGGGCTTGCGACGCGCGACGCGTTTACGATGCTCGCGCCGCGCACCCTCCCGTTTTCCGCGGTCGCATCCTGCCTTCATCCAAGCCAGAACCCGGCCACCTCATACTCCGCCTGTAGTCATCACTTGCACCTTGACGTGAGACGTGAAACTAATACTCAAGGACTTTATGGCCGGTTGGTCAGTCAGCCCTACTTGGTCCTTCGCCAACTGAAGCCGGTGTCGGCGGACAACGGCAGACGTCGCTGCGCGTCGTTGTGGCATCGGTGAATTGGCAAAGGATCGAACTGTCTCTTTGGAGATCGGCATGTCATCGGATATCGTTGCTGCTGCCCGCAACGTGCTGTGTTAGGCGACGTACGATAGACGGCGTGTAATTTGCCTTGGCATGGAATAACCAGACCGGCGCTTCGTCTACGCGCGTGCGGAACAACAAACTCAATGCCGCCTATTCCACGCCTGGAATGATCTGAAGGGAAGATGATGATACAACGTGTTTGGGCCCGTACGGAGGCGTCAGGGCGATCTGACTAGCCGTGTCCATCGAAGCTCGCGGACAATGTTCAGGCCGGCCGCGCTTGATACTTGATATACGCAGCCTCGAGCCACCATGCCCAATTATACTCTCTCTCCCCTTCACCAGAGCTCTCCTAGGCGAGCGCCTCTCGCCCGCGAACTATGCCCAGGCTCAGCGCTGGCAGGGCGTCGGATATTTCCGAGAGCGTCGACCCTCTCGACCTCTTAGCCGCGCCGCCCAAGGACGAGACTAGCGCCGAGCGGGCTGTGCGCGAGGCCAAGGAGGCTGAAGCAAAGCGCGTCAGCGATGCCATCGACGACCAACTCAAGCAGGAGCGCGTATCGCGCTCGAAGAAGAAGGCTCCGGTCAAGGTACTGCTCCTGGGTCAGAGCGAGAGTGGTATGTGGCGCAGTGCTTCGATGCCGGCTTCGATCATTGAACAACCTTCGCAGGCAAGTCTACCATCGTAAAGAGTGCGTCGTGCCCCTTTGAGCCACGTTCTTGCCTTATCTGACTGTCCCCCAGACTTTCAAATAGCCTACGCGCATCAAGCGTGGTCTGAACAGCGCGCATCATGGCGATCGGTCGTCTTTCTCAATCTTGTCCGTTCTGTCAACGTCATCCTGGATAACCTTTCGCGCGAGATGTCTCAACTCAAGTCATCGAATTCGCAGCAAGAGTTTAATCTCCGGCTGGCGCACTTGAGCTCTGGGACGGAGCTTTCAGACTCAGATTCGGACATTCGCTCGAACGACTCGTCAGTAGATCCTTCTCCAACGTCCAAAGCCCATCTGGTCACCCCCGTCATCCCTCTCAGTCCCCTTCATCGACGAACCACGAGTCGCCCAGCAGTCGACAAGCCCTTGCCGTTCTCCGAGTACCACCGCCTTCTCCAGCTTCGTCTCGGTCCCCTGCGCCGTGTACAAGCCGACCTCGAGAGGCGGCTCTCTGTGCACGAAGATGACATCGACACCGTCACGATATCTCCTACGCCCTTCGTCGCCCTTGAACAAGCTGGTGCAGCGAATAAGAGGCGAAGTCTCAATCTGTCCGCTTCGCGAGAGTTCTTTGTACGCTCTCGATCTGGCTGGAAAGGCGCGCTCGGATGGGCGAAGGGATTCTCGTCTGGAAAACCCAAAAAGGGACGAGAGAGGGACGGCGACGATGCACTCGACGTACTGCTCGGCTGTAAAGACGATATCGTTGGTCTTTGGCAGGATCCCCTCATCCGCAAGATGCTCCGCCGACGGCAATTTGACATCGAGGACACTCCCGGCTTGTGAGATCGCTTTCTATCTTAGCACTGCCGTCAGCTCATCACGAAACTGCCAGCTTCCTCGACGATGTGAGCCGCATCATCGACCCTAATTATGAGCCGTCAGACGCGGATGTTGTTCGTGCCCGACTGCGCACACTTGGCGTTCAAGAGTATCCCTTCACGTTCGAGAAGGGTGAGTCCATTTCTCCGCATACACGCTCGCTGGCCAAACTCTCAGCGCACCATCATCTCCTAGGATCTCAGGTTGGGCGCGAATGGGTGATGTACGATGTTGGCGGAGCGCGCTCGTGTGTGAGTGGCCCGAGATTATCGCCTCGTGGCCTGTAGCTGATTTGTACGTGCACACACAGCGCTCGGCCTGGTATCCGTACTTCATGGATGTCAACGCCATCATCTTCTTAGCGCCCATCTCCGTTTTCGACGAATCGTTGGATGAAGACCCTACCGTCAACAGGCTAGAAGACACATATCTACTGTGGAAAGCGGTCGTCTCTTCAAAACTGCTGTCTAAGGTGCGAACCGCATGCCGCATCAAGATCGCGCGCTGACGTTCTGTAGGTTCAACTGATCCTGTTCTTGAACAAGTGTGATATCCTGGAGCGGAAGCTCGAACGCGGCGCGTCCATTACGAGATTCATCCCGACATACGGCGACCGAGATAATGATATGCAAACTGCAGCGAAGTGTAAGTCCGAACCACGACGTCTCGTCTGGTGCACAAGCTCATTAACCCACGTAGACTTCCGCAAGCAATTCAAGGATATGCTCAAGAAATATTCCCCCGTACAACGGCAATTTTTCTGTTACTTGACCACTGCTATCGACACCAAGTCGACCATGCAGACTCTCGCGGTCGTTCGTGAAGGCTTGATGCGCGAACTTCTACAGAAGGCCGACCTCATGCAACCTCTATGATCTCGCTCATGCGCTCATTCGTTCTCGGATGGTTTACTACTCTACACTTGCCGATTCGGCCTACTGTACCGGCGGCCTTGCTATCCATTTCTATGATTGCTCATGGTGACTTATCACATCTATATATCTTCGCACTTACACTTACACTTACACTTTCGCATGGACTCGGATTGATCATCGTTGTTGCAATCTCTGTACTTGTACCCATCGCGTCCTATGCTACTACGATAGCTCACATTGGCGTATCACATCTGTCCCGTCGAGACACCATACGCTCCGGGCGACGGGCTCGTGACAGCATCCGCGCGAGCTACTTCATCAGATGCTGACATCGTCGTGCAAGTACATCACGGCCGTTGCTCTCCTCCGATGTCGAGACCTACACACGCGGGTACTTTTCGCCTCAGCAGACGGTATGTATGGGTGTGCAACGGACACGGATCTGAATACCGTAGCATTCTGGAACGAAGGGCACTGCAAGGTATTACTACTGATGCAGACGCCGACGCGAAGGTCACGTTTGGGCTAGCAGGACGAGGCAATCACCACTTGCAGGTTACAAGATTGGCGCTTGTTCGTATGGTCTGTGAACGCGAACGCTGCGTACACAGTTCGGCGCCGAGATAGACTTACATATCTGCCAGGACAGGTAGTCGCCTCGCTAAAGCCAGTCAGCCAACTGGCCGAGCAATCGGCCGTTTGTAAGGACCGATGGACAACCTTATCCTATTGGTGTACAGCATGCCGCCGGTGCCACTCGTGTGAGTATGTATACGTGCTGTGTATGCTAGCCCCGTAGGGCAACCCTGGAGGTCGTGTGTTAGAATATGACAAGCTGTTCATCTATATTCCATCCGATCGTTCGAAGACCGGGCTTCACAGTTTCGTTAAGCATTGCAGGAGGGCCACATGCCAAAATGAGGCTGTCCGGAGAAGGGAGCGGCAAGTGCGCGGCCATCATCTCGTCGTTGACGCGACCGGAACCGTATGTCCAACCTTCCACAGGTGCTTGACTGAGCGTATGGTAAAGCGCGAAACGCTGGGCTCCGCATTGTTTGAGCATCCCATCGAGTTCCTCTCGCATAAGGATGTCGGCCACCGTTCGATTAGCGCATATAAGCCATATGCGAGTCTCGCGATCTTCGAGATCGAGGAGAATGCCGCTCAGTACTTGGTATATCGGTGTCATACCTGTACGATAGTGAGTATGTCTCTCTGTCAAAGACTTCGGAAGGGCATACCACTTCCTGCGCATATCATCCCAACGTTCTTCGTATGCCCCGTCTTTCCGCGCCATAGATACGACCCGCGTCCCTTCCAGATGAAAGATCCAATGGGGCCCTTGACCTCAACCTGATCGCCAACCTGCAGTTTCTCAAAGAGAGCCGACATCTTGCCGCCCAGTGGGTACGCTTCCTCCGGTCGGTATAGCCTGCACATCGAAGCATCAGATACTGCACGGAGCCTTGACATACTGCGCTCACTTGACTAGGAGCTCCACACTCCCTGTCATGCCGAGAGCGGAGATGGGCGTGTATGCGCGTTGAACAAGTTCTCCATCTCTGCGGATGCGAACGTAGATGTGCTGACCGCACAGCAGTCCGAGGGCTCGAGTAGGGTGGTCCAACTTGAGCCGATAGACGCAGCAGTCGTGATTCACACGCACAATAGCGGCGAGAGTTGTTCGCCTCCACAGGCGCGGATCGAGGAACGGATCATCGGGACGTATTCGGGCAGCGTCATCTACTTCTTTCCCCTTGTCGGCCGAGTCCAGCAGTGTGCCGATGTGATACTAGAGACATTCAGCATGTTCGTTACATTGGCGACGAAGGAGAAGACCTGCCTCCGCGAGCTGTGCGCGAGCATCCATGCTATGTATGGCCATGAAGTCCTCGGTTGCGTCTTGTCCGTGAACAAGGGTAATGGAGTCACGTCCGCCAGGGTGCGCGTCAAGAAAGGTGGTACCGTCGTAGATCTGGCCGTGGACAACGAACCAAGGGGTCTGGGGATCTTGCTCCGAGAGCTCTTGCGGTGTGATCTTCCTGGTGACTCCAGGCTTCACCATCTGCACTTCCTTCGTGGCTGCGTCGTTAGCAATGGCGGCAGTCGGCCCCCGATCCGTAGAGGAGAAGTATGGACGAGCAGGGTCAGAGCCCGCGTTTCGCATGCGCTGATATGTGGTCGTCAGCCACACGCCGAGGTCGAGTTTCTCTGCATACCTCCATCCATCCAGGTCTTTCAACTGCGCCAACTGGAGCCGGGTGTTCGAAGACGAGCCTATGTCCACCGGGGGTATCCGACTTCAATACAGCTACTCGAAAGAGCCAGTTGTTCAGCATTGATGTCGCATTGAGATAGCTAATATTAAAATCGATTCAGCCTGGTACGGCGCTGGAATGGAAGCTGTCTTGCGTACATGTCCCGAGGTTGCATGTTCATCGATTCGTCCATCGCGCATACCTCGATGACTCGAGTCTGAAGTAATGCACGAACTGGCACCTGCAATGACCAGAAACACCAACAGCTGGCCGTGTATAACGTCAGTCTTTGCATACTCTCCAATAGTAAGCACCCACAAGGAAGTGTCCCGATCAGTCAAGTCTAGTGATCCAAAGACGCCGTCGTTGTATGTAGTCTCCCGAAAGCGATCCTCTGGATACTCTCTGCAGTACGGTCGCTATCAACGCCAGTGAATGAGGTATATGGATTCTACGTACATAGAACATAGTCCCCACGTTCGCCCCTCATCTAAGGTGACCTCACAGCGTGTGACTTTCCTCCCTCCACCTAGGGATGAGGGATGCTTAGATGAGTAGGTGCAGATCTTCTTGGCGCGATAGTACGGTGAGTTCGCTCACCCGAGTAAGCATAACCTCGTATCTCGTACATCTCGAGGCCATCAGAGACACCGGCACTTTCTATGACATCAAGAGTCTCGCCGTGTTTGGGCGAGGTGATGACGCTATTCACGCTTAACTCGCTTGAGGACAGTCATCAGCGCGACTGAGACGTTTCAGCTCAACGATAAGCAGCGTACGTTATTAGATAGGCCGGGTCGTGCCACCAAGATGACTCGTTTCGGGCTACATCTGGGCTCAAATGGCGCGGGAGGACTTTGTTATCCTACGTTCATCCGTGCGTCAGAAGTTGAATCTTACCGACATAAGCTCAGGAGCTTACCCAGAAATGCAACTATAGGCTTTCAGGTCAGACTTGGAGCGGAGGGAGAGTACCGAAACGCACTCACATGGTGCTCCGATTCAGTTCTCGAAACCTCAATGCGACGGAGCCACTGCGCACACAGTGGATGCTGAGTTCATATTGCTCGCAGGTTACATAGGAATAGACGCCACCTTTACAGAACGCCCTCCGATCTGACCGGGTACTATCAAGCGTACAGGGAATCCATGGTCTGGCTCCAGAGGCAGTCCGTTCATGGCCCATGCTAGAGGTGGGATAGATCAGGAGCTACCACGAATGCCAGCTACGCAACATCTCACCAATAAGCATGCCCTTCTCCCGCGAAGCGGCCCATGAAAGACGCTGTGAGGTGCCGTACGGTCCTTTCGGCAGGGAATCGGCACCCTCGAAGATAACGTGTTTAGCCTCACCACGAATGGGTCCGACAAATTCGAGCACGTCGGCAAGGTAGACCCCAGTCCACAAGGCAGTACTGACTGAAATAAGACCGTGAGTTTCGACTTCAAGGGCTACAGACAATCGATACAGACCGCCCGCTGCTCCCCAGTCGAAGCCCAAACTTTTGCGTACGACGTTTTGTTCTTTACGTCGATTCCCCGCGCATACCAGTGTCACAGGAAGTGTCACCGTCCTGAAGCGATCCCTCAAATCCGATATCGAGAATGTCATGGCGCGAGAAACAAGACCATGTACGCGAATCGTCCAAGATCGATTCTCCTCTCCTTGCACTCGAGGAACGGCGCCATGATTGCGGACGAAATGCAGATGAGCTGGAGTAAAGAAACCCTGCAATCCGACGATAAACGAGGTACCAGACAATGATAGAACATTCGCACGGCAGAGATAAGATCAGGAAGGGGTGCTTCGGCGTTGAACGGGTGTTTGCCTGTTAACCGCACGAGTCGAGGATTCTGTCTGGCAGTCAGCATTGGAGTTTGCATACAGATACTCATGCCACTCACCCGCCTCATCCAGCTATCAGGTGTATGGGCGTCCTTCAGATTGGTGTAAGTTGCTTGATCGTTACAAACGTGCGAGTGCGTACGGCATCTGCGACCTCTTCCGGGGTGCAATCTTGCGGCGGTCGAGGGAATGTATCGGGAAACTTGGTTTGACATGACCCATCCTTTCCAACCGGAGTGGGGCTCGTTGAGATCAAGCATGTCGGAGCATCGTCGCTCTGAATAGACGACGCGGACGATGAGGTTGCTTTCGAGACATGTTCGCTCTCCCAGCTGCCTGCGCTGGTGGGTGTCGAGGGTGAAGGGTCCATGAATCTCGCAGTGGGTGAGAGGAGGCTTTCGAAGGCCAGATGTGCGGGCTTCCTGTCAAGGCCTTATCTACACTCCATTGACGCATTGACCTCTTGAACAGCTGACGCAGGGCCGTGGGTTTGAGCGCGGAAAGGTGGCTTCGAAAGCGTAATCCAAGCTTCTATCTGTGGCCTCGGCGTTTAGGCAACCATATCATTCTTAGTGTCTAGTTTACCGCCCGTCCCTTGACATCCACTCTGACACGTACTGCATCATCAAGTTCTCACCACCGAGGAACCTTGATAAGCGAGAGTATTGCATTGAGGCCCTGTTGCGATATTTCGTCTTAGCGTCGGTAGCAGAATGTTCTGTCACTACTTACCACTGCAAGGACACCGCAAATCCAGAATGACTTTCCCGCGGTGGCTTCAAATCGGAAGATCAAAGCGAATATCACGCCGCCGAGGTTGCCGCTGGCGCCGACAATGCCACTCTAGTGGTAGCTGAAGTCAGTCATTCACAAGGACCCTGGAAGAGGGCACCCACTGTCAATCCATTCGAGTCTGTACGAGACGAGTTGAGCATTTGGACAGGTATCGGGGTCGATGGATGTGACGTACTTGGGTTACAATGCGGTACCAAAGCGAACGCCGCGCCGTTTGCACTCTCCATGAACCATCCCATCACGACAAAGAGACCGATTACGACTCCTACTGTAGTGCAAATGTGAGATGAAGTAGAGCTTCGCAGGGCCTCGACTCACAAGATGGCGAATGGTGTTGGTCGACGTATACACCAAAGCCTATGGCGAATAGACCCTGCGCAATCCCGAGCGCAAGCATAAGACCTTTTTTCCCGTTGACCTTCATGAACATGGTTCAATATCGTAGAGACTTGAAAGGACATTCTTACACCAAGCCGCATGTAGATCAGGTCGCCCAAGTAACCTCCAAGTGGGCGAGAGAATATGTTGAGCAACCCAAAGGTTGATGCTATCTGGATAGATCACAATATAATTGAGCGACGTCAGCGTGCGCTCCCCCTGCGGTGGTTACAAAGGGTATATATACTCACATAGCCTGCCTTGGTTTGATCGAAAGATGGGCCTTTGTACAACCCGTATAGTACATTCGCTAGATTGGCGTCTACGACAAGTTCGAAACCAAAGGTGGTGAGATAGCTCAGCGCAGGCAACCACGTTAATGGGTTAAGGAGTAAGGTCAGAGTATCACGAAGGTCGAGTGGCTCGTTGACAGCCGAATCGACGGCAGATACAGGTTCGACGGATACTTGCGCAGTCATCTTCTCGCTCGAGACTTTGGCTTCCAGGTCCTGGACAGAGGGTGCACGTTCTTGAGAGGGAGCAGAGCAAGTCGGGAGGGTTTTGTGGCGATCAGACCATCGACCTGATGGATGATCGGTCCCGAAGAGCATGATCTGAGATAACGTTGAGAGACTCAGTTAGACCCAAAGCACACATCACAAGCACGCACCATGAGCGCGATGAAAAGCAGTGCGGGAACGGGAACTATTGCGAAAGCAGCCCGCCACGCAGAGTGGCTTGAGAGGCCGTCTGCCACAAGTCGGTTATAAAGCGCGACCATGATGATGAAAGTAAAGCCACCTGTAAAGGCTTGATTCAATGCAAACTTGTGAGAGCTGGGTATGGAACCACTTCACCGCCTGAATTGCCCCACCCGCCAGCAAGCGCATTGGCAAGTCCCACAACCTTCTTGTCGAAGAACACCGTAGTCCATGCCTGACAGGGGACGAAGGTGCCACCGAGAATACCTGTTGGCAAGGTCATACTCCGGGCTAGATTCTGCAGAAAACGGTATACCGATGAAGAAACGGATAACGTAGAGCCCTTGTGCGTTATGCACGGTTCCGGCAAGTCCGGACGGAATGGCACCAATGACAAGCAAGGTTGCCATGACTTTGCGTGGACCATAGCGGTCAATTGCCGGTCCAGCGACGATACGTACGACCAGCGTAGCACATAGGGAGATCACGTTGGAGTTCGCTTAGATGATGAGCAGTAAGCACAGGCGAACAGTGCAACCCATGATCATCGCTTACCAAGCTCAGCCGGGGTCAGTTGTAGATCCTTGGATACCGCCTCCGGAACAAGCGGAGAGAAAGCGAACCAAGAGAGGCTGGGAGAGGTGTATACATCATATTTCACCGGGCTGAAGAGGGAAACAGTCGTACAAGGCAACCCAGAATCCAAGCCAAGATCTGTGTGGGACGTCAATGCTTTGAAAACCTTGATAAGAAGGATGTGCGTACAGGTGGAAATTGCGCCCATATTCATTGCGTATGGATAGGATGGGTAGAGATTCGCATTTGAGATTCGATGGGTTCACGCGAGCCACAGTGAGGAAAGTCCATATATTCTCCTGATCAGCCGGCAATGAGACAGTAGGGGCCATGTGGGGTCAAGATGATGAGCAGTATGAGAACGCGAGAGGACGGAGGCGAAGGCAACATGTACACGGCCTTTATCAAACTCACGGGTCGAGACGTCCGATGACCCGCCAAACTATGCATATGGCTGATAACGATTGGCCGTAACTGAGTAGAGCAGGCAGAGACAAGCCGTTTATGGCTAATCCGAACATGAAACAGAAGTTCCAAGAGACTCGACGTGAGAGCAGACGGGGAGAAGCGACGGCGCCTCCGACGTGCAGCATGACTGTCTCTGTAGATAGAGAATGTCAGAGATCGTATTCCACTTCGCGCTGTATTTCAGAGACTCGAGCGGTAGTTGAAGGTATGGGGTACAGCAAGTGCGTAGTCTCAAAGAGCTCACTCGTCCAATTCCCGCAAGTACACCTGCCTACGACCCTTCTAGCCCCTCATCAACACCGCGCGCTCGCCATTCCCACTCCGTAAATAGACTTTGCAGCGCCAACAGCGCCCAAAGGGTCGCCTGATCGCAATGTCCGTCATGGTGGAAAGCGAGCGCGATAGGCGACATACAGGGGCGCACCGTGACCACGCGCTGTTTCTCGCACGCGAAGAACGGTCACATGAGTAAATTCCAAGGCCGGCGCGTACGTTTACGTCGAAACTACGGCCGTCTCGGGGTATACCGAGCTCATGCAGGCTCGTAGGGTGGCTGAAACAGCTAGTACATGCGTATTTTTCTTGGTGGGTATATGGTACAGACTACGATATTATATGTGACTTTAGACATCACAAGGAAGTCGTCGAGGGCCGAATCTTTTCCGTACACTCCCACTCCCCACTCCCTTCTACTACTTCGCGGCACTCCCATTCTATCTCCAAGTCGTTTACGTCGATCTCCTTGAGCTCCTGCTTTTCAACGCGTTCTCTTGAGGGTGATACGGTTGTCATCTCGGCGGTGATCGTGTTGATGGCGCTCGTGGGGAAATCGAAAGAGCGCTCAATCTGAGGCACCACACGGGTCGCAAGAGCTTCAGCCTGCGCTCCGGCGAAGTAGGAGCCGACGCTGGTTGCCGTGTCACCACCAGCGGGCGACTGTGCTGCGATGTCAAATCGCACCCGCCTCGGCACAGCTAGATGCCCATTATGGGTAGTTGCAGGACGCATTTCAATGACGGAAGCACTAGCGCAGCGCTTCATGACCGGCTCAGCCACGTCCGTGATGACATGAGCGGAGCGCTGCGGCGAGCTTCCTGCACTGTGTACGACGACCTGTCGCTCTGCGCCCTCTCTCTCGACCCAGTTCTCCAACTCCCAGTAAGCCGGTACCGGACGGCGTGGGACAACTCGAGGTTGAGACTCTGACGAGCCAATCGAAGTTGCGCGTTGTTGTTCATGCAGTGCTGAGTTTCGGGCTTTCACACGACCGCGAAGTAGCTCGAGAGGTGTAGACGCGTTGGATCCAGGATCGCCCTTGGGTTTCGTCTCTTCGCCGTACTGTGGTGGTGGCGCCGCCGCGTCGCCTAGCGATGCAGTCGCAGACCCTCCGAGGTTGAGCGGTGCCGGACGGCGCTCGCGCTCAGCAACAGCTTCAGGGAAGTTCTTCAATTCTCTAAGCCAAGAGCCTGTGGCGAGGAAGTCCGACACGGATTGAGAAGAGTCTGGACGAGGCTTCCAGAACTGGAGGACTTGTAGCGATTCAGGTGGTAAAAGGCCAGGGGTGCTGACGAATAGCACGGTGTCGAGTATGCCTTTTTAGACCCAATCAGGATGTAACAAGTTGTAATGATCATGGAACATACCGAGAAGATGATATACCGCATCTCTGATGACCTCGTCAGTGCCTGTGGAAACGTATCATGCAAGTCTACTCACGTGAAGACAGTGGCACCGAAAGGGATGGAGACGCCCGCCCAGTAGATGAAGCGCACGATGATGACGGGAAGCACACAGCAGAAGTATACCAGCTGACATAAATATGCTGGTTTAGTAGCACTGAGAATCAATCGGAAGCAACACGCACAGGGAACCAGATCATGAACTTGGCGAGCATGACAGAGTACGCCTCGTCCTCTGCAGGAATGTTCTCATACTTGCCATCTTCCGCGTCCATGAGTCGAGCCTGCAGGGCCTTGAGGACGCTAAAAACGGTTGCGAAGAATAGACAGATTGAGACGGTCGCAGACAAGATCATCTGCAGAAATCGTAAGTGACAGACCTAACCAACAGTTTGGCGTGCACGTACGAAGGCATAGCCGAATCTAAGCAGTGGGGATCAGTTTGAAGGAACGAGAGCTGAACGCAAGGTACTCACGCGACACGTTCACCCAGATATCCATCCGTTACATAGCACCACTCGCCCCACACGCCATCTGCAACAAAGGTTGGTCATGACGGAAGGACGCAGAATCTTGATTGCACTTACAAAAATCACCGTTGTGGCCTGTTGAGCCGATAGCCGGGCCAAGGGTGAATATGATCACGATGATTGCCCATACGGAGGCAAAGAGGAGCCATTTGACGAACTCCTTGTGTGGAACTGGTCGGCCAAACCAGACAACAAACTCTTGCTTAGGACTCGACGCCCTATCTTGTGGCCGCGACCATCGCCACAGAGTTCCGAAAGAGTGTATAGCGATTGTCTGTGGAGCATGGTTCACATAGAGAGCAAGGATCGATGATGTTCCAGTACTTACCAGATTGAATATGGCAATTCCGACGTCACTGAAATGTTTGATGATGGCTTTTGCAAACGTCAGACGCGTACATCCCGAAAACAATAGGCGACGAACCTTGGGCAGTACACAAACCACCCATGAAGACGCCCATGCGACTGATCCAAGCGATTCCGATTATCTGACCAATGGCTAGATAATCCGTTAGCACTCGTTGTCGGATTTCGAGGGTTCACGCACCGGACAAGACTTGACAGAACAGTAGGGGCGTCAGAAACGCCGCGACGCGAGTGCGCACGAAGAGCCGCTCGCTTGTCGAGTTCCGTGTGTTCCATGCGGATATCTACAAACACATTAAGCACCCGCAGCGCCAGTGCGTAGTTGAGTGCACGTACCAGAATTGCCGCAAATAACCCGAAAGATGCAACCAACTCGAAGAACGAGATGATGATAGGCAGCTGTGAGTGCGTCAGTCTCGATAATGCCCGTATTTCGAGTAGGTAACGCACCACAGCTGACTCCGCCTCCACCTGCCCATAGATGTGTGAAGTAACAAACTTGTATCCGTTAGGAAGAACATCAAAAACGTCTCCCGGTGTAATCGGCATGTTCGTAAGAATTTGCTGAGTCGTCACAAACAGAAAGAAAAGGACGGGCCAGCCCGTAAAGAAAGAAGGGGATGGAAAGGGAGTGGAAAGCAGGCGGGTGGTGGCGGCTAGCGCGCAAACCGGGCGGCCATCCACGGACGTTGACGGCTTTATGAGACCCGCCGAGGGCGGTCTTGAGGCGCTGCATCACGTTAGCCGCTTGTCATTTCCGCAGACGGCGAGTGAGCGGACGATGGCAGCAAGGAGTGTGAATGCTGTAAATTCACGCCCGCGGAGAGACCGCAAGCCTAGGGTCGTTAGAATAGCAGGGTTGAGCCAAGCAAGCCACCTCGCGTATCACTCCAGTACGTGACAGCAAGTTCGCTCTCCAGGAGTGAGTGTGGCAGCCATTTGCGATCACCTGTACCGCGGGATCCATTCGGACCGCACCCTTACGAGGCGGCGACGGAACGGCATAAGCTGGTGCATATGTAGACGAAGACTGCTTCTGTCTTCGGTGCGAGCAGGTATGTTTCATTGCGTATGTCGGCCGAAGATACGCGCTGAATACAGCTGATCGCAGCCCACGGTGATATGTTGTCATCCGCGCAGTTATCAAAAAATGCCGAGCGAATGTCTGGATATGTGGTCTTCGAGAGACAGTTTGAGCCTCTTCGAGAGCATACATGGATGCGAACGTTGTGTAGGGACGTGGGATGGCATTATGAATGGAAGAGCGGGCGGGAGATGATGGTGGTGGACAATGCGGAGAGTTCTCGGTGGCCGAGCTGTCGACATGTTCACCCGCGTGTGTCCTTGTGGGACCGAGTTGTGCGTGGGAGGCTATGCCCATTACGAGTCTCCGGTCTTTGCGACCCGCTGCCACCGGCTTGTGCCACGCTCTTCCACCCGGCCAGCATATATCCGACAGCTAGAAGCCTATATTGACCCCTTCCTGACGTCGATGGCTGAAAAGCCGGTCGCGGCACTCGCTTCCTATACTCGACATGGTGCACCTTTTGACCTCTACGGCCGGCGCGAGCGGTTCATCTAATAAGATGGGGCCGCAGAGTCAAATCCCGGAACATACACCATCTCTGACGGCCTCCGGATTTCGAAGCGTCGCGACTTCACGTCCATCGCGTCGCCACTCTACTTTGTCAATCATGGCTGATGGACTTCGAGAGAACTCCTGACTGTACAATACGGGTTTGATGGTTGGCGTTCTACGCCGCAGATGCGTGAAACGGGCGATGCAGATCGCGTTCGAGACGTCGGTACGGGGCGTGGCTATGTCGTCGGGGCACTGAGAGAGAGAGAGAGGATACTATAGTACTGCAGCTCACTCTTCCATACCATTACAGGACAGCTATTCAGCCGAGACTGGATGTTCGCATGCGCTGCTCGTGCGGCCGTTCGTCTACTACAGTGCTGACCGGGTTCTTTAGAGCGTTTCCACAGTGCCTTCGATGTTCTCCTGCTCAACAAACTTGGAATGCACCTTCTAACAAGCTGTTCTGAACTGCCCGTATACACGCGCACACGCGTCAACGGCGTTTTCCATGTCATGTCAGCCTCCTGCCGCGCCAGATCTGTCCGGGATCAGGCCCGCGATTCGTCTCGCCGGGTTGTTGTATGACCCTTGCTCTCGCGCACTGCACCTCCACGGCCTTGTTCTAGTTGCCGGGATGGTGTGATGCCCCGATGCGGAGTGCCTGTTTGCTGGCAAATCGTCCGAAATCAGTGTTGTTGTCTCCGCAAAGGCATACAAAACCAGGAAGGACACTGCGCGCGGACCACCTTTCGAACCCCCTCGTCAAAGTGACTCGTATCCTACTCCCAGCATATACCTCGGACCATCTAACTGCACTTCTTGCTTGCGATCCATGCTCATACACTTATGGCGACACCAACATTTCCGTGGACTGAACCAATCCGTTTAACCTTCTCTGATCTTGACCCTGGGCGAACTTCGGTAGTCGACGCTGGTGCCCCTTCTCCCTCCATTGCATTTCGTTCTGCGCATACCACACCATCACCATCTCCTTCGCGCACCATGCCGAGTACTAACGTCGACCTTCCATTTGGACTACTCTGGAGCAGTTCCAACGGTCAGGCACTGCCCTTCGGTCGTGTGTCGCAATTCTCGAGTTCGGATAGTCTTTCTCTCGAACACGTACCCGCCGAATCTGAACATGTCGAATCTCCGGGTCCGCCGCAGCCGCTATACGAAGTCTTTCCAGAACCGAAGAGGGAGAGGCGGGTGCGTTTCTGGAAGAAGAAACGGAAGACATTCGTTGTTCGCGGAGGGGGAGGCGCTGAGCCCGTCGCTACTATGGTCTGGCACAAATTTCGTCCACCGAGGGTAGAGATGAACGAGAGGCCGTATGGTAACCCATCCAAACGCGCTACCATTGCGTTCAAGCGAGACTGGACTCTGCGAGAACCACTTCGTCAGACAAGGTCAGCCCTGACAGCTTTTGGTTGCGTCTCTGACCGTTGCTGACACGCCATAGGTCTGTGCTTGTGCATAACACTGATGGACGCGAGTATACGTGGCTCCTTGATGAGAATAGTCGAGGGCTGAGCGACGCCTTCGTATTAGAGGTGGGTCCGACAAGTGTCGTTTGCCGTGATGCCTCTGAACGTGTCTTGCTAGCTCGTTCCTTCTATGAATGGGATACCAATCGTTCGAGGCCAGCAGCACGATCATCTGGCAATACTCACCTTTGAAGACGATGACCCCCCGCACGATCCACCAAGCTTTGCACGTCGGCCACGTCTCAACCGCGCGTTCCTGACCATTAGAGTTGCTGAAGAAGACGAGGCCAAGATACGGACAACCTGCGATCTGTGCGTCGTATCGGTCCTGTTTCTTCTTGCCCAGATGAAAGAGCGATTGGAACCTCGTCTGGGCGGCGCGCCCATTATAAACTCCCCGCCGGCGGGACCCCGATTGCTTAGTCCCCTGCGAGATCTGTACGATATGATCACACTCCCTCTGCGTCCCTCCCTTGAAACCCCACACCATGTAACTGTAACACCTGCTACACCTCCTGCTCATTGACTATACTGTATCATCTCAGCACCATACTTATATCTAACTTATCCTCGCCTAGTATCATACCACTGTAGCTTAGCACACTCCATAGTCGCATGTACCGCACCATACAAAGACGTCCTTTCCCTCTTGCGATGCAACCTTCGATACTCGCAGCCCCGCTGCTCACGGAAAGAACCTTAGTTTGGTAGGTGAGAGTACTGGGTTATCCATGGTCACGATCATGAGCGGCATACAGCGCGCGAGAAGCCCCGTTCACAACGGGGAATGCCATTCGTTGTAGACCACTATGTACGCGTACGGTAAGAACTCATGACTTAGATCTCGGCGAACACGGTGTTCAACCAAGTTGCCAGGCGGAAACCTTGCTTGGCTAGCTGCTCGTCGATCTAGGATCTCAACCTCAGCGAGAGAACGCGAACGGGCGGGAGAACACATGACGTACGACGGGAATAGCAGCGTTGAAGTAGGTACCCGTGCAGAGGTCCTCTCCCGTGGTGAAGTCAAAGACGTCGACCTGCGCGCCCATCATAAACATCATCAACTACCCAAAGAGGATACCGCACTTACGCAGTTGAAAGCATTTGCCTCGGTAGCCCACACGAGAGGGACGCTCGTGCCCTTGAGCGCCGAAGTAGTGATGCCCGATACCCAACCGGCGGACAAGGACTTGAAGCTACCGGTCTTGATCTCGTTGGCGAGAAAAGTAGCGTATGTCTGCGCATCTCCGTTGAAGCGGGTGTCGGCGCTGGCCGTCAACTGCACAAATCAGGAGAGACCTCGGTCAATGATTGGAGACTCTGCTCAGATAGCCTTCACGAACCATGCCGGTGTCTGTGAGCTAGGAGTCAGAGAGACTGGCGGAAGGAAGGAGCGGGTCACGAACCCCAAGCTGCATGCAGGTTCGTTGACTTCTTCAAGCAGACGGCCGAGATGTCATTGCCGCCAAGTTCCAAAGCCTCATCGTGAAGGGGCTGCCCAATGTCTCCAACGAACTAAAGGACATTCATGGCACGAACAGACTCCGATGATCAGAGCACATACATGGTCTGCAGGTACGGAGTGTGAGCAACATAGACCTACATGCGAACAACTGGGTTCTCACCAACAAAGAGAAGTGCCTGCTGACGTTGCGTGGCACTGAGGGAACTGGACGGCCGTCAGCTATTTTCGTAGCAGGTACATGGCTTCACGTACGTGTCGAGCAGACGAGTAGTGTAGTTCTGGATGGCACTGATAACGCATCCGGCGGCGCCGCAATCGCGCGCGATGTTCACGGAGCAGGACGTAGGAGGATTATCTGTGGATGGCCGAATCAACACTTGACCCGCTTGAGATAGATCAAGAGTCCGCTACCCTCGGCATCGATGAAGTGCTACAGTAGCCCTGGTGAGCATTATGCCATCCTTCAAGCATCTGAACACGTACGAAAGGTGCAGAGAACTTGAAGGCTGTCTCGGAGCGGACGTCGTCGGCCCACTGAGAACCCATCAACCCATCACCACACAAAACCTCAAAACAGCCTTGATCAAAACGCACCGAAGCAGCATCGCCCCCCAACGTTTCGTCGAAATCAGAGCCGAGGATCGTCTGGACCTGCTTCAGCGTCGCCGAGTTGATGAACTGTTGGACAAAGTGGAGAATCTCAGTAACCGGTAGCAAAGGAAAGCAGTGCGGGACGCGGGGACCTGACCTGCATGGCTACGAATCCGATGGTCGAGTGGCCGAGGGCGCCCCACGCCAGGGCGGCGCGCGGTGCAACGAGCAGAGCAGCGACGATACCAGTAGACCACATCGTAGGGTTGGACAGGGAAGCAGTGTAGCTTGCAGGGCATCCGGCCAACGACTGTCGTACTATAAATTGTACTGCATGCCTTCGCGTGGGTGGGTGCACATGCGTGCTGTACACAATGTTCCAGCCGCAACGGCCGTTCTGCGACCGATTGGAGCCGTTGAATTGCCTCATGGAGTTGCGCGACGACGAGGCCATCCGAAGGACTGTGAGAGCGAATGCACGCGTTTGGTCTATTTGGAGAACGAACCATGCAGTGCACGAGGAGATAAGGCAATCTGAGAAGTTGCTGTCGAAAGCGCAGGTACCACTTCGAGAGCGCGTAGGCAGATCATCTGCCGAATACGAGCACACGTTGGTGCCACAGCGGAAAGTAAGTCTAGTTGTTGCTCCAGTGGCCGACCGATTCATATTCGCTGGCCATCGCACTTGACCTCGATAGCTCCAGTGTACAGAAGCTTATCACACTTGATGTACGCCGCTTGATAGATGCATAGATTTGCTATTACAGTACGATGTGAATATCCCGGGGAGAAGCGCCTGCAGCACGCCGGTACAGCCCACGTTGTATTATGACAGGACAGGCCTGTGTGATCGTCAGCTGTCGTATTCACAAGGAAGCACATGGCTCATAGCACGCACTTGGGTTTCGGCCAGCCGGCAGCTCTGAATGCACCCAGCCCCAGCATCACGACGCCGATACTGGTGTATATGCGCTTCACAACGGGCGGGCCTGGCTGTGTTGGCCGGGCGAGCTGCAGGGCGTATATCCCGACGCCGGTCATCGCTACTGAGCCGATGACGCGGCAGCTGAGGCAGTCCTCTGCCGCGAGAGGATCCGCGGGTTTGACTTCTGTGGGGAGAACCTGAGTTGGTGTATTCGAGCTCATGGACGTCATGACGAGAGGGATGTGGCGGCAGTCGTCGAAAGTCGCGCATACGTTGCCCCATATGTGCGCTCATTCAAAAGCCGAAATGTCGCCGTCGTGGCGCAATGGTAGCGCATCGCCTTCCTAAGGCGGGGGTTGCGGGTTCGAGCCCCGTCGTCGGTACATGGTTAACTACCCTGGGCGACATCTTTTGGACCCGATCCGGACCAAACTTTGGCACATACTTATACGCAGTGAGTATATTTCTATTATGTAGATGCGTAATCAGCCCATGTCATATTTTTATTCCAATGAGTAAGTGCAAATTAACCAATATAGTATATGTGACATGAGATGTAGAGAAAGTATTACGCCGCCTCTTTCTCTACTGGCCTTTCCCATTCTCCGAACCCCAAACCCTCCTCATCGCGACTTTCAAGCGCAGCCGGATTCCTCCACGCATTCCAATCCCGCCCTCCGCCCTGCTTATGTCTCCGTATCCTCTTCTCGCGACCCAACCTCTGCTCCAATGTCTCACCCCGAAGCGACCGTTCCCTCCTCACCGGATCCTTCCCAACCATCTGGTCTATCCTCCCAAGGATATCATACAGCCCATCGCTATGCGTCGCACTCGTTCCGACCTCTCTCCTGATGTTCTCCCAGAGCGCCGCCGTCCGACTGTCCCGGCGCACTTTATTCGACGCCATCTCCTGGACCGCCTCGTATACGCCGCGCAAATCGCGGAAACATTCCCAGCGCGTCTGGATGAGCTCGTTGTATGCGGCCGTGGTGCAGCCCATGACGTAGGAGTATATCGAGAGACTGCGTGCATGCGCGAAGACGGCGAGTGCGAGGTGAGGATCGCGGTATTTGTCCCGGAAAGTGCGCATGAGCTTTGCGATGGCGTGGGGGTACGTCGCAGATTGCAGTGGTGCCAGTGGCCCGTCATCCCGCGCATCCTTTGGCAAGTTCATGCGCGCGTCGGCGGCAGCAGCCAGCTCGAAGGACTGGGCGAAGACCTCGCGCTCGGCCCATTGCAACAACTCATGGTCCGACAATGCATTGTCGATAGCCTCGTTCATCCTATCCAGCTCAACTTCCAACTCCGGATCCTCTCCAGGCCTCGTAACCCTCCTACTCCGACTAAGCGCACCCATGTACGTGCTCAGCCCCGTCTTCTCTATTCCTCCGTCTGCTCCTCCAGCCGGCGTGTCGGACATACTGCTGAAAATCTGATTGAACATATTGTTTGCTGCACGCTGCTCGCGGACCGTCATCGTGACTCTCCGGGGCGTAGGCGCGTTGGATGCCTTCATTTGTTTGCGCGAGATAGGTGTGGCGCTGCGAAAGGATTCGGTGGCTTCGGTGTCCAGGTCGGAGAGAATCTGGTCCCACCAGCCGCCTTGTGAAGAAGATTGTGGCGATGGTCTTGCATAGATATCAGTTCTTATCTTATTCATTAGACAATATAACCTACGTAGGGTTATGACGCGCGTCTCTAGATAGAATAATCAGTCGAAGTCAAAATATTATATCAAGATAGTAGGAAACGTACCGTGCACGATCGAGCAGGCTCAGCAAATCAGAACCAGCGTCAGAGCCTCTATACACATTCAGTGACCAGATGTAGTGCGTTTGCGGTAGAACAAACCTTGAACCCCGACCCTCTGGTTTGCTGCTAAACTGCCGTGCTGTCGCAACGCGCTGGCAGATCGGTACCCTAGACGTCGAAGCTACAGGCGCGGGACTAGACCCCGAGCGTGCGCGTAGAGATAGTTTTGCAGCATGACGAGGCACGTTCATAACAGGTATCGCGTAACGGAAGATAATAGAGCGATAGGTCGTGGCCAGAAGCAAGAGCTCGTGAGCTTGACGCGCGACGCGTCTCGGCGCGTTGGCACGCGACCGTGGCTTCTCCCACGTTTCTACCAATATTTACTGAACCTCTGGCGCAGCGCTTCTACCTGCCTCACCGGCATGCGATGGGGAGTACCGGTACAGTGTTGAGACAAAAGAGCGACTAAATTGATAATAAGTTGTACGAACGGCAAACACTGCACATGAAGACCAACTAACGAGCAAGAATGCAAGAAAGCGCGAGTGGGAAGCAACGAAAGGTATACAGGGGCATAGGCCGCTGAAGCTGGTATAGCATTAGATGATTCAATGAGATGATGAGACGAGATGTGTTGCAGCAATGACAGGAAGTGAGTGTCCGAGTCCGAGTGGGTGAGTATTAGATGGGGTAAAGCACAAGGTATAGGGTATGGATGTTCAAGATGGCAGTGGGGTAAATCAATGAGTAAATCCAGATCCGGAAGAAGCACTGAAGAAGAGGTATATATGACATGATAAGGGAGATCAAGAATGTGTTGGTCTTCGAGAGCGGGATTTGGATGTTCGCGGTTGGGAGGCGGATGTTACGGCTCCGAGGCCATGTTTGGGGACGTAGTCGGGGTCGATGGTTTCGCAGTTGAGGTGCAGGAGGAGATTATGTACAAACGTCTGCTCGTACCTATCAAAGCCATCAGCTCCTCTCCCTCACCCAACGAATCCAAAGGAGTACGCACTGAGCATTCGTAAACACAACCGCCATACTCTCCGAATTGCACCTCAACAGATTAGGCGCCATAACCAGCGCCAGATTCGCGCTCGTCATCTTCGTAATCGCCAGCACCTTCTCGTCCAAGAACAGCTGCAAAAAGCTGATAATGAACAGCACGACTCTCCTGTTGATCGTCGGTAGCCGCTCCACGACGCCCACGCACGCGTCCGGCTCGCTCGCGTACGCGATGCAGTCGTTGTACATCTCCTCCGGTACGAGTGGGTCCCTCAGCTCTCGCAGCCAGAGTTTCAGCAGACTCGCGAGAACGTGTGGGTCGTCGACGCCTTCGAGGGTGTAGTAGCCCTTGTCGATGCGGAGCTTGAGGTCGGAGACGAGATCGCCGTCGCCTGGTACGCGGAATATGCCTTCGGACTTTGTACCACCGAGTGCGAGAATGCCGTCGGCGAGGAAGGGGAGGATGATGGGGATCTTCTGCCGCGGGTAGTTGCGTTCTTGCAGCCGATAGACCGCATCGAGGGACTCGCCGAAGGTGGAGGGATTGAAAGCCGCATCCTAGAGAGCAGTGGATCAGATGATGAAGCCAACGCGCATGCACACAAAAACGTACCGATGCGGTTTCCAGCTCTGCGACTGTTGGCGGTTTCCCTCTCGGCCCGCGCTTAGCAATGATACATAGCCTTTTCAGACAGTGCTTCGCCATGACGTCCACGCGACCTTCGGTGTGCGTTGTCCGTTGCTTCAGGAAGGACTGGAGATACGACTCGAAATTCTTCGAGGGAGGAAAGGTGATGACGAGGATGCACAAGAGCTGCCAGCCTTTGAATACGCTTTCACTGTTGAACGTGATCAGAGGTGCGCGCGATGATGCAAGATGCCGGGACGACGTACGGGCTTGGGTTCGAGATCAACTGCTTCGTGACCTGACAGTATATCTCGTCCCTTAACTCCCCATGGCTCAACCCCATCTGCAACAACCATCTCTCCTCCTCAAACAACGCCAACTCATTCAGATCCCTCCCCGTCTTCGACACCGTCGGATCCGGCATCCTCGCCACCGGTCGTCCACCCCTCTCATCACCCATAAGCCGCAGTATAACTCTGAAGATCTTGACAGCGTCTCTGTGTAACGGGCGCGGGATATTGAGGAGTGGGCTAGCGAGAGGCGCGCGCTGCCAAGCCATCATCTCCTCCATCGGCACCGTGCGTTTAAAGATGATACCAGTGCGATGCGTCGCAAAGTACTGTTTCGCGAAATCGGACGTGGCAAACTGGTGGATGTCCATTGAGAGGTTCTCAGGCAAGATCGGGTGCGCGCTATAAGCAGCGCATTCAGCCTTTGTTGTCGTCTCCATACGTGACTAACGCGAAACAAACGACGTACCCTGAACGTATAGAAACGATACTCGCCGCCGGATCCGCGGTCCGCTCCACGAGTATAGGCTTCCCTTCCGCGCGTTTCTTGACGGGCGTTAAGTTCATCGTCGCAGCGTCGTTGGGCACAGGTCCGCTGATCTCTTTTCCGTGCATCCGGACTTTAATAGGTGTCGCGGGCGCGGTGACGGTGATGGGTGTACTGGGCGGTGCGTCGCGGTCTTTGCCGTTTACGGCGAAGTAGCCGCTGTCACCACCTGTGGATGACGATGGTGTAGGTGAGGGTCGAGATTGGGCGAAGAGCTCTGCGGCGGCGTTCAGGGATTGAGGCGGTGAGCGGACGGGATGGTATGACGACGGTGCATTTGCGGCGGATGGCTGCTTCGTCCTCGTCGGCGTGTTGCTATCCTGATGCTCATTCCTAGACCGTCTACTCCGATTGGACTCGTTGCGCGTCAAGCTCGCTTTGCTCGAACTGGGAGTGGAAGCCTCGGAAGCGTCGGTCGAATATGGCGATGCAGGGATGGGCGGCAATTGGCTGATGTTGAGCGTCAAACCCTGGCCGGCCGAGTACGAGCGCGCGGTGGGTTGATGGCCGGCGGGTGCGCGGTACTGTTCGCTCGACAGGCTGCGCCGGACCCCGTGATCGCGTCCGTACTTCTTCGGTGGTGGCGAGCCGGTGGACGTCGAGTGTTTTGGAGGCGAATCGCGTGCAGGACCGGGCTGGTGCGACTTGCGGGAGGTGGACTTGGTGGGCTTTCCGTTGGCGCTCCTCTGGCTGGCCACGCGCGATAGAGCTTCCATGTCCGCCGGGGATAATGATTTCGACAGGCGACGTCCTAGTGCGGTATTCTGCAGCACCGATAGCGGGATCACGAACCCCTCTGGCTTCTCCCATACTGTCTCTCCGGATTTGGTATGGTAGTAGTACGGTACGCCGGTAGACTCGTCGATGATCTCCCACCACTCCCCGTTTTCGTTCGCGGGCAAGCTGAAACATAGATTGAGTCAGTCGCCACTCGACTTTGACACGAAACGAAGCGATCAATGCATGCATAGATGCGCGCTCTGCCATCACGAGAGCCTTGCGGCGGATAGCAGCCTATATTACGTGCACAGATCGCCACGTCTACAAGCACTGTTTGTAAGACGAGACGTACACAAAGTTGCCGACCGGGGCATCCCAGCTAACCTCTCCAGTCGCAGGGCAAGCAAAGAAGCTCGTCCCAGACTAGATGTCGCTATATTAGTATATCACTTTTCTAACGCCTGGTAATGGCCGCACCTGGGGATCCACGAGCGTCACCCAAAAGTTGGCACCCCATGCTGCCTCATCCGACGCGTTTGAGTTCGCGCTCTTCGTCGAGCGCGCCGTGGGCCCGCGCACGGGGCTGCCGTTGACGTGCAGCTCGGGCGTAGATGCAGACGCGCCAATTTCTGGCGCTTTGCCTTTATCATGTACGCCTAGCACTTGATAGGATTTGCGTTTGTCGTTCGAAGCGCCCGAGGAGCTGGGCGAAGGGGTGGCATTCGCCATGTGCTGTAGGGTCCGATAGAGTTGAAAGGAAGTCAAGTGCGCGAGGAGAGAGAAAACGTAGAATAAGCTGATGATAAGTCTGTGGGAAGAGATACAATCCGTGTGCTGTGCGAGAGGGAACACTACAAAGCCAAAGCAAGCGAGCAATCAACCGAATACAGTCATGGAATGGAAGCAAGGTGCGGGTAGAGCACACCGCGGGAACGGGGCGGCAACCCGGCGGTAACGGCGGTTGAGGCCTGAGGGCGGCTGTTGACTTTGACTCTATGGGCGCGAATATTGGCCTGTGTGCTACTCTATCAAGCCACCCATCTACATAGGCCATCGTGTTTGTAGCCCTGTTCTACTCGGTAGGATCACGCTGTTCGAACCTATTTGCGCCATTCTACATGGGGTTTCCCGCAGTTCCTGGTTCTCAGCGGACTGCTGGCAAACGCTTTCATCGACTGAACCCAGTCCTCTGCAGCTCTACGCCCTGAGCGAGCTCAAGCGTCGACTCCGCGTCAGACAGATCTGTTGTCATCAACTCGTCCCAATATGGCTTTGACTTCATGCATCTTGATCATGAGCGACATACAAAAGCTGCGCGACCGCCTGATGCGACCAGCGCGATAACTTGATCTTTCGGCTGGGCCAGCGAGGTTGACCCTCCAGCCCGCACTGGCATTTCGTACAGGTCACAGACAATGTTCACATTGATACAACAGAAACTATGATATAATCGGACCGGAGCTTACACGAACACAAACGATACCAGACCCTGAAACTCCCTGCAACTTCGGCTACTCGTCGACCTCCTCCGCGTCTTCACCGACAGGCGCCTCCTCGCCAGCATCTTCCCACTCTCCGTCTCCTCCCAACAACTGCTCTCCCTCCTCCAAGAAAAAGCCCTGGTCTGCCTCGACACCCTGCGCTCCTCCATTCTCGACGTTGCCTATCGCACCCGCCGCCAGAGCCTCTTGAACATCGCCATTATCGCCTGGCGCATCGATGTCATTTGCCGCGTCAGGCGCATCACCAACGACGAAGTTCGGGTTTCCGTTGATAGCTCCCGTCACGAACCCATTGGCGAAGGACTGCGGGATATGCACGGCAGGCTTGGGGGCGGTTTCATTGCGTGCTGTGGCCAGTAACCATGCTGCATGCAACCTGTCCTCCTGAGCGAGCGCATTACGCTCCCGCCCCATCATACGCTCCAGGTATCGCAAGTTAGGGAGCACCAACTTGCTCGCGTTGTTCACGCCCATCCAGTGCTCCTGCTCCTTCTTCTCGCTGGGTGTCAGCGCTACTCCCATCGCCGCCAACTCGCGCTCGTCGATTTCCTGGATTGCCTTCTCCTTATTCAGCCACCACTCGTAGTCGGCCGACAGAACGTTCTTCGCGCGCATCTCGACTTCGTACCACGAACCCATACCGAAGACCGTCGGCACCAACTTCCACGCCTGCCTCTGCGCCGCCGCGAGCTTGATCTTGAGTGCGGTGAAACAGTTCGTGCACACGTACGGCCTCATCAACCGCGAGATGCGCCCGTCCAGTGAGTGCAGCGCGTACTTCTCCGTCCAGGCTTTCTCGTTCTTCAAGAGCTCGTCGGCGAGGAGCGCGAGTGCGTGATGGCAGGAGTATCCGTCGTTTGTGTGCGTGCACGAGATGCGCACGGGGTCGACGCGGGAGATGTTGACGAGCGGCGCGAGAGTGTAGCGGCGGCGCATGTGCAGGAGCGCCTCCTGGCCCTTCAACAGCCTCTGCAGCTCGTCGTCGGGCACTTGCATCGCGGGACGCCCCTCGTTCTCCGGCCAGCCCAGGATCAGCTCTTCGATAGTGTGCCTCGCCACGACTTCGAAACGGATCATCGGGAGCAGCTCCATTAGGCGGTAAGGGAGCGCAAAACGGAGGAGGGCCTCGGCCTGCCAGTAGAGCGGAAGGCCCAAGATCTTGTCGAGCATCCTTTCGTCTGTGTCGCGGTTCTTGTAGCCTTTGAACGTGGTGGGGAAGGCGGTGCTCAGGAAGTGCACGGCGGCGTGGCGGAGGCTGAGACAGTTGTATTTGCGCGAGAGCTCGAGGAGACGGCCGATATCGTCCCAGTGATGCGCTTGTGCCGTGATGACATCGCTGGACAAGAAGTGGTAAGTCGTTGAACATCGGGATAGTGGATTATGTCGCTGAACTCACGGCCTGAACAGGACACGGCACATCAGTTCCCAGTCTTCAGGCGTCTCGTCGACTGTGTCGATCTCGACCTCCGGAATACGATCCGCGGCGTTCGAGAACTGCATACCGGTATCGCGGACCAGCATGTGGCTCAGTGGCTCCATCTCCTTGCTGAGCCTGTCCCTCAGGAGGCTGAACAACACCCACTGCTTCGGGTAGCCGTTCTTCGCCTGCCTCGCGACCTTGATATGGGCGACCCCGCCCTCATGGGACTCGGGCGTGAACGCCCAGATCCTGTGGGGAAGCACCGCGTTGGGCACCATAGTAGGCTTGGGCAAATCGCTGTAAAAGTTCCTCCGGCGCAGCGCCTCGGAGTCCACGGCATGATCCCTGTCTGACTGCTTTACGAGCTTGCAGTTCTTATCGACTTCGTTTTCAGTGCGTTTGTACTGGACGTCGGAGAGACGTGTCGACCAGCAGGGGGTGATGGTGATGAAGTCGTCCTTCTCGAGCTTGACGAGGCGCGGACGCTTGAGCGGTGGTTCTGGGCGGACGTCGTCGGTGGTGAGCTTGAGCACGGCTGGGGATGAGGAGGATGCGGGGGGCTTACCTTGGCTCATGTGGGCGGCCATCTTCAGGAGTTCGTCGGTCTCTTGCTCTGAGGATGTACCCCAGGCGCGCTTGACGCCGAAAAATTTCGTAGCGTTCATCGGTGGTACAATGCTAGGCATGTTTCTCAACTCAAGCTATACGATGCTAGATGCAGAGAGAGGATAGAGGATGAGGGTAAGAGGTGAGGAATTTTCAACTCGGCGGGTGCGAGGTGATGGTGGTGGTCAAGAGCAAGTTGAGCGAGAAGATGTCCCGGCGCGTGATCTCTGGGAGATGGTGGTTGGCCTTGTAAGCGAGAATGGTTAGATCTCTTATTGTCCGCGCCTCGAGGCCCGCGACTGCCGAACCATACCGCGACCGGTGCCTGATTGATTTCCCGTTCCGGATGATTGTGTTGTTCTCTTGTTCTCGCACTTGTTGTTGATCTGTCACAGTACGATGCTTCCAGCTGAGACCTGCTGAGACTTGTCGCGTAGTATGCTCTAGAAACACACAGATACTAGCCGGATGTACGCGGGATTCGGCGCCTCGGGTTCCAGATCGGTACATCAAATAGTATATTACTACGAATTACAAGTATATTTACTGAGCCCATGCGTTATGCGAATCATCGGCGGACCCTTCATGCGTACTCTCCCCAGACCTGTGAACGTACAACCCAGGCTGGGTGACCATCTGGAACGTAGCACCCGGCAAGGGCGAATCGTTCACATCCGTCGGCGCAATACTCGCAGGTCGAGACGTCCACGCAAGCGATGTCCGACTACCGCTATAAGCTGTTCCAACATCCAAGACTGCCGTCGCCGTAGTGCCGGTAGTCGTAGACCAAGACGAATGCTCAATGACTGGCCCAGGTACAGTAGCATTGCCGGAAGCGCCTCGCATGGGAGCGGCAGGATTGCCAGGCAGACCGGCGGGAAGTCGGCCATATGGCAAAGACTCAACAATGGGCGTCTCATCTTCGTCGTCGGTGATGTCCTTCTCGTCGTTGTAGTACGAAGTGGAGAGCCTCGACCTCGTCGCCGGAGAGACTGCCGCTGGCGGAACTTGACTCCCAGGGCGAGTGGGCAGTCCGAACTTCACCACTTTCTGCTCGCGCACACCCTTGCGGCGGCCGGGCATAGTGACTGTGATATGTTGAACCTCGCCTTTCTCGTCAATGACTGGCGTCGCAAATGGATCCTGAATAGTATGGGCAGGAGCGGGCACCGCGAGCGACAGTGGCGGCGGGCGGCGATCGGCGGCGAAAGTCTTGGCTTGCTTGTGACGCGGGTTGGCATACGATGCCGCGCGCGACTCGGCATAGCTGTTCGCGTTGAAGAGCGAGGGGAAGACGGTCCGAGGCGGGAGTAAGCGGGGCGTGCAGATGAAGATGATCGTGTTGACGATGCCCAATAGATGATAAACGATGTCTGTGAAGATAGTCGCTCCAAAGGGCACGACGAAACCGCTCCAGTAGACGAAACGCAGGATGACAAGGGGTAACAGGCAGCAGAAGTACGCCAGCTATAGCAGGTGTGGGGTCAGTGCGCTGATCAGTGCACGGTGCGCATACCACTCACAGGATACCATATCATGTAGCGTGAGAGCTTGAGCGCATACTCGTCAGCCTGGTCTTGTTCAGAGAGTATGTACTCTGATCCGGGCTTCTCGACGCGTAGCTGTTTGCGGTTATGGTAGAAAGCGCCGACGTAGAGGGCCAACGAGACGAAAGATGATGCGATCATCGGCCCATAGGCGAACCTGCAAATGATCAATAGGTTGCATCAGCTGGGTCGACCTGGACGTACGCTACACGCTCAGGAAGATAGCCATCAGTGATATAGCACCACTCGCCCGCGACACCGTCTGCGATGCAGTTAGCTTCGGCGTTCCGGAGAGCAGATTGTATGTGTATACGCACAGAAGTCGCCCTTCTCCTTCTCTGATGTGATCTCGGGTCCGAGTACAACAATGGCAGCGAGGATGAACCACGAAAACGCCACCACGAGCCATTTGAACATTGTGGCGCGTATCTTCGAGTACGGGTTGGTCTCCTCACCATCATCCGCAGTATCTGTCGAGTCGCGTTTCTTGCGGAGGGTCTGGAAGGAGTATACCGCGATCACCTAGGAGCATGTCAAAAACTTGAGTACTGATGAAGAAACTGGCACATACCAAAGAGTACAGCGCTATCCCAACGTCCGAAACATGTTTGATGATAGCTGGTACGTGTCTCAGCACTATGATCGGCTCTGTAGACGACTGGCGCGCACCTTGAGTAGTGCAAGCTGCTCCAGCATGCACACCCCTCTCACGAATCCAGTTCGAGGTCAGAAGACCTCCTACGGCTGAATTACAAAGCATGTGAGATGCTTGCGTGTATGTGAGAAGCCGGACGCGCGCACCTTGGAAGGCAGTACAAAGCACGAGACAGACGAAGAAGATGGCCGAGTGTGTCCTGACGAAGAGGTTCGGATCCTTGGAAGATCGCGTATTGAAAGCAGAGAACTAGAAGGCGGACAGATCAGCCACGTATTTTCTCTGCGTGTTACGAAGTTGCGCACTAGGATTGCTGCGAGCAGCCCCAAGGATGAGATGAGCTCCAGCGCCGCGACAACCATCTTAGCCTGTGCACAACATATCAATAGGTGAGCAGACAACGATGTATAGGAGTACACACGATCGCCGCCGACGCTTCACTCGGCGCATACGGGTGTCCGATCACATAGTGGTAACCGTTGGACAAGACCTGGATCTCTTCACTCATGATGCGTCGTTGCAAAGGGGCGTGAACAAAACAAAAGTAGGGACCAGCCCGAACGAAAAGAAAGAGACAGAAAGGACAGACACGGCTAGCCGCGCGAAATGGGGTGTGGCGGCACGAAGAGGGTGCGCACCGTTGACCTTCGCGCGGGCATCGCTATATGTAACTTACAACACTGCACCGCCGCGACTGCGATTTGGCTTGGCACGAGCCAGGTCCTACGTCAGTTAAACGATGCACATCACGCAAAGTTGATCTAGGGTGGAAATTCCGCGACCCGCGGTTCTGTGATTGGACGGCGTCCAGTTTGAACAGCCTCATATAAAGGTCACAACGTAGATGCCCCGCGGGGTATATATGTTGAGTGTTGAGTCTGGATGGTGTACAAGTGTGCGAGAGCTCTACGGTTGAGAGACTATCCTGTAGTAGGACGCAGCTCAGTGACGAGAGCCAGAGAAAAGGTTTCGAATATGAAGGCGCAAGCGACGAGCGTACGAAAGGCGGAGTCCATGAACTACGGCCATGTTGATATAGCCGTCCAATGATCACGCCTCCCCCGGCCATACGATCCGTGATTCGCTGACCCCCCCAGCACGGGCAATGAGAGTCAATCACCGCTAGAGCCTCTCCGACCTATCATCACAACGAGGCGCACACTGGCGCACAGCATATTTCGCCCTCATGCCGTTCTTGTCGGTTAACCATCAATGAGTGTCGAGGTTGGTTGCGGCGGAGTGCGAGCGTGAGGCGGACGGGCGTCGAAGGCGCCCGTGAGCTGGTTATTGAGGGCACGTCGAAGAGCGTAGATGAAAGGCGTATGCATTCAGTACAAGCACTCGCGCATCAATAGTGGGAGCAGGTGAAGAGTGCGGAAGCCGCGCCGGGCAATTGTGAGGGTAAATCGGTCTTTGCTCCGAACCACCACGAGCAGCGTTCTGCAGCGCCAGCACACGAGTATACATCATTGTTCACCCCCAGCTCTTCTTTGTGCACGCAGGTCGTGCCATCCTGTTCTACTGTGCCACGTCGCCCTGGCCTGAAGATAAGTCGGGCGACGAGCACAACGCCCTATCAGGCTTTGAGCCATACTGCCGATAATGGCGCAACGCACTGTTCGGACAGGAGCGGGGTTTTCTAGTCAGCACGGTTTGAGCATCATGCTGAGACGCTCTGAGAGGATAGAGCCGATTCACTCTTGTCAGTGACTGTCCCGTCACTGAAAGTTATGCTTTCGACGGGATATCCGTTTATTTACTGTATGCCCATTACACCCAGTACCCACTGCAGCCGGCGAGCCGCGCTCACATCCTACACCCGTAAGTCGGACCTTGGTCGGTGCATGACCTTTTGCTGTGAGTAATTTTGTTGACTGCGTTCAATAGGAAGCGTTCGGAGTGGTCCGGTGTGCCTCCGTATTTCAGTGGGTACTCCAGGCTGAGCGTCGGGTGGAGGCTGGATGGCTGCTACTAGGATGCTGATGCTCAAGCTGACAACGAAAGCTTCGACGTTGTCTAGGCTTGTACACTCCTAGTCAGCACGTCTCTCGAGGACGTCGCGACTGGCAGTACAAAAACCGGCGCAAGAGGCTCAGTCGCCCAACAACACATCTGCACATCCTCCTCTCCAGCGATATGTCTAAGCAACACTTTGCTCTGCTTCTGCCTGCTGTCGGCGCCGACTTCACGGTCGGCACTCGTGCCACACCTACGCCCGGTCCTGGTCAAGTTCTTGTACGGAACAAGGCGGTCGCCCTGAACCCCATAGAGCGCCTGGTCAAGCAGACTGGCTTTCTCATTGGCGAGTACGGCTTTCCTGCCGTTGTCGGCAGCGACGGAGCCGGGGAGATAGCTGCTCTTGGTCCGGATGTGGCGGGATGGAAGACAGGCGACAGGGTTCTATACCAGTCCTGGTACAACCCAGACCGCGGCACTTTCCAAGAGTTCACCATTGCGGACGCCGTGCGCGTCGCAAAGATCCCGGACGACATCTCGTTTGAGTCGGCTGCTACGGTACCCCTCACACTTGCCACGGCTGCCATCGGCGCGTACAAGGAGAGGGCCAGCACCCTGCGCCCGAACGGGCACGATCTTGGCGGCGCGGGCCTTACCCCGCCTTGGGAGGCTGGCGGTCGCGGCAAGTACGCTGGGAAGGTCGCCTTGGTCTTGGGCGGGTCGAGCTCTGTCGGACGGTTCGGTGAGCGCACTCTGGTCCATCCGATGTATTGTATGTGTGACTTACTTGCATGCAGCCATTCAACTCGCCAAGCTCTCCGGTTTCTCTACCATCATCACCACGGCCTCTAAGCGCAACGAGGCGTACTGCAAGGACGCGGGCGCGACACACGTCATCGACTACAAGAACGTCCCCTACGCCGACTTACCTGCAGCTCTGCACAAGATCGTAGGCGACGAACCCATCGCGTACATCTACGACGCCGCGTCAAGTCCCGAGTCTCAGAAGACTGGCTGGGGAGTCCTGTCTGCCGGCGGAGCCATGGTCGTTGTCCTCCCTCCCTCTCCGGAGATTCATGCCCCCGGGAAGGACGATGAGAAGGGGAGGCGCCTCGTCTCGGTCTTCGGTAACTTCAACGATCCCGACAACCAAGAGTTTGGCAAAGGTCTCTATGCTAAGCTTACTGAGCTACTTGAGAAGGGCGAACTGAAGGTGCGCTGGAACTTAGGCAGAACGCACGAGCCTGTACTCACCTTCACTCTGAAACAGCCAAATCAGCCCGAAGTTGTCGGTCAGGGCCTTGATGCGATCTCAGCTGGTCTTGACAAGCTTGGGAAGGGAATTAGCGGCGTGAAGCTCGTAGTAACTCTCTAATCCAGACGGCGTCTGAAATCCTGGGCCAAAAGATGTGTGTAGATGTGGACGCCCTGCCCTGTGTATCTGAACCAGTACTGTACTCTTATGTTGATCTTGACGAGCCGCCGATGGGGAAGAGAAGAGTCGCTTTGCTCATGAGAATGGCTATTGCGCTGAAGAATATTATTTAATCCGTGTACATACCCCAGGTGCGTCAGTGGGAAAGTACAGCGACGCGACGCTCGGCCGGGCCGGCCGAGTACAGCGTCATCGACGTGCCGACGCGGTTTCTGCTCAAAAACCGCCATGAGTGAGTCTCGTACTCACATTATGTAGTCGTTGTCTATCTTGGATTTTCATACGCATAACCTGATTACGAACCTCCCGGAGCTGCTCTGGTGTGAGCGGAGGCGCTTTCGCTCATGACCAACATCATGATAGCAGTGGCTCTTTATAAGGTCTTTTGATCGTCATCCCGTGCCACCCTCAGGTTGTACTTCAGAGCGCAATGCCGGCGTAAATCGCACAATGCACTGCTACTGACATGAGACTAGGCGGCAACTAGCCCGTGTAAGTGCTCGTCTGTTCCCATGTGTCATACCCCTTTACGTCGCTGACAGCAATACCGGCTGCGACCGGTGTATAGCTCATGATACTGTGTTTCTTCAACCGCGAGCGAGACTCGGTGCAGCACATTTTGACTGATTGCATGTAGTGAGATGACTCGGCCAGTGGAGGTATAAAAGCTAATCTTGCTTGCTCTTCGATCCAACCGAACAGCGATCAATTCCTCCTGACTTAGCAACCCTTGGACTCGAAGGACGACAGAGACATGTCGAGACAACAACACAACGCGGTTCTCCTTCCCGCCGCCGGTGTAGCGCTCAAGGTCGGCCAACGCGCCACACCCACGCCTGGCCCCGGCCAAGTCCTCGTGCGCAACCAATCCGTAGGATTCAATCCCGTCGACGTCTTCATGACCAAGACCGGCTTCCAAGTCGGTTCGTACGGCTATCCAGCTGTCATAGGGGCCGACGGTGCTGGTACGATCGCCGAGCTCGGCGAGGGTGTGACGGGGTGGAAGATTGGCGACAGAGTACTATACCAGTCTGCCTTTGATCCCGACCGTGGGACGTTCCAAGAGCTCACAATCGCGGACGCGGAGCGCGTGGCGGGTATCCCGAAGAACTTGTCGTACGAGGAGGCGGCTACGGTGCCGCTTACGCTTGCCACGGCTGCCATCGGCGCGTATCAGGCCAAGTCGGACGTCTTGAGGCCCGACGGGCAAGATGTCGGGGGAGCGGGGCTCACGCCGCCGTGGGAGGAGGGTGGACGAGGGAAGTACGAAGGGAAGGTTGCGCTGGTCATTGGAGGGTCGAGCTCAGTAGGCCAGTATGGTGAGCATAATGCGCCTCGTGTACTGTAGAGTGTGGATTCTGACTACGCACGCAGCGATTCAGCTAGCGAAGCTCTCAGGCTTCTCCACTATCATCACCACCGCATCCAAGCACAACGAAGCCTATTGCAAGAGCGCTGGAGCGACGCACGTTATCGACTACCACATCGTACCTTACGCAGAGCTTTCCGCAGAAGTGAAAGCAATTGTAGGAGACAAACCGCTCACGTACATCTACGATGCGATATCCAGCGCCGAGTCCCAAAAGGCTAGTTGGGAGGCTTTATCGCCTGGTGGGGCTCTGGTTGTCGTCCTCCCAGCTTCAACAGACATCGGCAAACCCGGGAAGGACGATGAGAACGGGAGACGCGTCGTAGCGGTATTTGGTACCGTCAACGATCCTGAGAACTGGGCCTTTGGAAAGAAGTTGTATGGCGCGCTTCCTGGCTTGCTGGAGAAGGGCGAGCTGAGGGTACGTCGCCTTGTGTTCCCACGTCAGATCCGAGCTGACCTGAAATACTGTAGCCACACAAGATCGAGAACGTCGGAAAGGGACTCGAAGCTGTTCTGAAGGGTGTTGAAAGGCTTGAGAAGGGGATTAGTGGTGTCAAGCTTGTGGCATCCCTCTAGCGGGGTAATGTCCCTACATGCAATGTAGCACTTGTATGATCCGCCTATTGCTGAGGCAGAGTTATCTTCTGTATGAATGCGTACTCATAAATAGTATTCAACAGAACACAGATACAAGACGCGCAGACTTCGAGACGATACGATTCACTGACATGTCGATCCTTTGAACGGCCTGACACTGTGTTTTATCCTTTAGTGTGCTCATGAACGAACACGACGACAAACAATGCGGTGTCCGCCCTGTTTCCAATCGCTACGCGGAAGTAGATCCCCGTGAGCACAATGCTCATTCACTGAAACACTTCGCACATACCTAAGCTGGCACTCGCGCGAGCAATAGCGGGCCTCCCGGCAACCTTTGCAGGTTGAGAGTTTGTTTGGTGCAGGAGTGCAGTAGTATTGGCACGTTGCCCATGAACACAAGCGAGCACCTTGTTGATCATGACGCATCTTCTCCGCGTCCTCTTTGAGGCAAAGGTTCTCACCAAGAGCTCCCCAGCATGCGACAATATTCTGATAATCGGTGCGCTTGCCTAGGGTGTCCGATAGTGCACGTAGTCGTAAAAGGGTAGTATACCACGCGTCTCGAGCCGCTGTACGCATCTGAACTTGCACGCGTCGGAAGTCTTCGCCTCTCCCATCCATCGACGAATCGTCTCCGATGAAGAAGTTCCACTTTGCGAGGATGGAGAGCAATGTGGTCGCATTCTTCTCGAGAAGACTGTCTGTGATTGAAGGTATTCGTGATAAGCTCGTCTCGATTGATCAGATAGATGACACAAGATACTGACCTATATCGCTGGCGCCTTGGCCTATGAACCGGAGGCCGTGGACGCCGAAGACAGAAAGGCGTATCAGCACTTCGAGACAATCACGGCCATGAACTGCCGCGCATTTGCCATGGTCAACACCTACACCCACCCAGCTAGAAAGCAGTGACACGTCAGTCAACGCACTCCAAAGCAACAATGACATACACCACATACTCAATTATATCACCAGCTAGTTTACATATCCGGACAAAGGTCCCGCCGCCACCGCCCAAGCTGAGACCTCGGGTTTGCACCTGCCGCTGGAGGGCTTCCAATAGCGTGCGACAGATCGGACTCGCCCAGAAAGCTTCACGGAGAGCTGTTCGCTGGGCGAGGATTGGTGTCGTGAATATCCCTCCCAGAAGAAGAATATCTGCAAGCCACATGTCGACAGCCATTGGCGAAGCCATTTGCGCACAGCATGCCCGAAGCACCGTGGGTGCACCGACAAGTGCGATAGCCGCATCGAACTTCGGGGCCTTGTCGCTCTTGGGCAGCTTCCCACCGCCCAGGACGTGATTGCCCCAGTAGTCCTTCAGAAGCGTGGTAGTCTGCCGAATTTTGAAGTTGTCGTCCACTCCGTCTGCCATGATACGCGCCCACGCGCTGAATGTGATGGGAACAAACTCGTTACGCGAGAGGGCCTTGATGTCGTCGTTCATGCTACGTTACGCGTTAGACCTCGTCAGATGTATAAGAGCACGTACGCACAAAAAGACCTGCAACATTTCTGTATCGATACAGATAGAGCACAACATCTCAAGTATACGATACGGAGTACCCGGTACGCCCTGTTTCTCATTGAGAAAGATGGCCATACGGGACCAGAGAGGCTTTGAAGCGATGTCAATCTCAGATATGATGCGTTGAGCGACAGTGATCGGTAGGACAGGTAATTTATTTCCTGTCCTAAGTACGCGAGCGAGCCAGATGGACAGGAATCCAGCAACGCAAGTTAGCACGTCTGATATCCACACCTGTCATGGCATACTGATCACAAACAAGACTCAACATCAAATGGATCTGGGGACATACCGATGATTGTATGACAAAACTGTCATCCTTGATGTTTTCGAGGAGCAGGAACAGCACTTCGCTCGAGACGATCGCTTTCCAAAGAGGCTGACCCACTTGTAGAGTACCTGTGTACGCGCGCCCTTCGTTCAATCCTAGCTCGGTGACACACAGAGCTGTCGACAACGAAGAAATAGCCTTCACAAGGTCGTTCTCCAAATCTAGTACGGAGCCTCGGGTAGACAAGAAGAGTGATCGCAACCGAGTGACAGTCGCGGTCGGCTTTTCAATGAGAGCTTGTGGGAGGTTCGTGACAGGCGGTGACATCGCGATAGCTATCGGTCGACGAGCTAACAGTGATGAGTGTGCCTTCGATCAGGGGGCGCAAACTCAGGTCGACGCGACTTATATGCGCGCGTAGCTCTTTCATCAATGATTACTAGTAGAATGCTCCTAGGTGAGTCAAATTTTGCAATGAAAGCGCTCGACGTACGTACAGATGGAAGGAACGAAAGCTTCTAGAACACGAGGCGGGGACCGTCCTGACTATGGAACATGTCACTGGACTTGCGAATGTTCTTGCAGTTTACACACTTCAACGTAAAGAGTGAGGTTCGAAGAAGGAGACAATTCTGGGCTCACGGTCCTGCAAAGAATGTAAATCTTATGAGCGACCTTCAGGGGGGTGTCAGTTAGCGAACCTGTCATGTGTCAACGGAAGACTTCCACGAGACATCGTGCTGATACAGTTTGCAGATGATCAACACCGCTGTAGTATCTAGATGATGACGTCTGTGGATCTGACTTCGCGGGATACGACTAGCGCAGGTAACGCACAAACCCTGCCTCAAGCTTATGAGCCCACGCGATGTCTGTATCATCCAAGCTGAACGGATGATGAGAATCGCGTTTGACGGTCCGGATGCCATAGCATCCCGAAGACGTCGAAGCCCCGGTCGCCGCTAGCACTGTGGTTGGAGTTCGGTACCGGTTGTTTCGCCGGCGGAAGCGCGAGCCAGATGTAGCAGCAAATGCTACTGAATTGAAGCGCAAAGCGGCTACGTGCGTCTGCGTGATCTACAAAGAAGATCGTGACCAGTCTCTTCCCGCCGATAAGAGGCAGCACGTACAAAGAAGCGCGTTCGACGGCACCTCCAAAGTCCTTCCATTGCTCGTCGATCCTCTCGCCATGGCATCTGCAGATCTGCCGACGCTGTCTCCCCGGCTCGACGAGAAGGAGCTTCCGCCGGACTCTCCTGTCGAGAAAGATAAGTTCGACTCTGACGCCGAGGGAAGTAAGGACGATGTGTCCGTTGCGCTGGGACGGGAGCCAGTGATAGTGGACGGGAAGGACGTGTCGAGGTACATCGTGGACCTGCGAGACGACGGTGATGCGCCCATAACTTTCCGCTCGATGCTCCTCGGCACCATCCTGTCGGGCCTCACCGCAGCATTGTATCAGGTGCGCATTCTTGACCTATCGGGTGCCGTGCGGATTCAAAACGCGAAAACAGCTCTACACGTTCAAACCTGTCGAGACGAGCATATCCGGAGTATTCTCACTGCTCGTTGTGTACTCCTTCGGACAAGCATGGGCGAAGTTTGTTCCACAACGTAGCTGGGTTCAAGGCACGCGCTTCGAGTACTTGGGCCCCGTCCTCCACATATTAAACCCCGGGCCGTTTGGAATCAAAGAGGTGAGCATACTCATATAGACGGTTGTCTATACAGGCGGAGCAGACGTTGGTTGGGAGGCTAAGCCAAGTCAACGAGCGGGTAGCGCGCCTGCCGGCTCCTTCGGTCCGAGATCCAACGTTCGCTGTGCCCAGCGCACTGAGCGTCTTTCCTTGACCGCCATTACTGTGCGAGTTCTTCGACACCGTCTCCAAACCCGACATAAATCTCAGTTGTATATGATGCTTACGCTCGGCTCAGCATGTTTGTGCCACTATTATGGCTAATACCGCTGGTACGGCTCTACTACGCGCTCGAGAGAATGTGGCGATGTCACTAACACGATTCCCAGGGTGGGGGTTCAGCGCGCCCCAGAACTTTGCCGTACAGAGGCTCTACTACGATACCAATGTGCAAGCTACTACTGCTATTCTGGCTACATTCTCCACCGCCGTCTTCGGATACGGAATCATTGGCTTGCTACGCCCGATCATCATTTACCCAGGCGAGATGGTCTTCTGGACAAACTTGCCGACGGTCGCGGTATTTCAGACCCTACACCGTGATCACCTTGCGAGCTTCAAGCGTTTGAAGGTGCGTCATTTGCTCAGCGTTCAATGTGTGCGCAAATCTGACATGTGGTCGCATTGTAGTTCTTCTGGATGGCGTTCTTGATCATGGTGCGTACATGTCAACTCACCCTGTAACGGAAACTGGCTAACGTTCTGTACCCAGTTCTGCTACGAAATCATTCCAGCCTACATGTTCCCACTCTTGAACGGCTTCAGTATCATCTGCCTCGCCTCACAAGGAGCTAACCCCGGTGCACTGGACGTTATCACCAACTTATTTGGGGGCGCGGAAGGAAACGAAGGCTTGGGCATTCTGAACTTCTCGTTCGACTGGCAGGCATGTATTCGCTATAATGTTTCCTAGACTCTTACTGACACTATTTATAGTACATTGGCTCGAAGTACATGACACTACCGCTGATACAGCAGGCGAACCGCTGGGTGGGCTATGTCATCAGCTACGTGGCGATTGCTGCTATCTTCTACAACAATACGTGGAATGTAAGCTTCCTCCCTACCTCTCACCTGTGCAAGGCTCGCTGACTTGGGAGCTTACAGTCGAAATCGCTCCCCATGCTTTCAACGTCCCTCTACTTCCCCAATGGCACCAAGTACAAGCAAAGCTCCGTCTTCACCGGACCAGGCGTATCGCTCAACGTGACGGCTCTCGAAGAGGTTGGCCTACCGCTCATGACTGGATCCAACGCCTGGTACAACTTCTGCATGAACCTGGGCGTCGGTGGGCTCATCACACACTCCGTCGCCTTCTTGATTCCTATGATGCGCCAGTCGTGGGCGCACTGGCGTGCCCGAAGTTACCCAGATCCGCACTATCAAGCAATGCTGAAGTATAAGGAGGCGCCGCAATGGTGGTACATGGCGCTTCTGGTGCTCGGGTTCGTCGCGGGTCTCATCGCATGCACGAAGGGCCAGACGACTCTTCCCGCTTGGAGTTACATCGTTGCGCTTTTGCTGGGCGTCTTCATCACACCGTTCAACTCGCTGCTGTACGGTCTGCTTGGCTCAGCTGTCACGACGAACCAGATCTCAAAGATGGTCGCTGGGGCTATCAACCCTGGGAAGCCTGTCGCGAACTTATACGTGCGGACCGAACGTGCTGCTTGGGGACTGGGCCATTCTGACTCCGTGTTGTAGTTCTCGATGTGGAGCCACGATGTTATCTCGGAGGCCATCCTTATGGCAGAGGACTTGAAGATGGGCCAATATCTCAAGGTGTGCTTCCTCGATACCTCACACTACTGCGGGCGCTCAGCTCGTTCATGTGCTAGATACCGCCACGTGCCATGTTCCTCATCCAGATATGGGGCACCATCATCGGTACGCCGCTCCTCTCAGTCAGTGCACTCAAACTCATCTGGACCGTACCATACAGGCTGCATCGTCAACTACGTAGTGATGGTATCAGTCGTCACCTCGCAACGCGATGTGCTCCTCGACCCAGCTGGAACGAACATCTGGTCCGGCCAGAAGGTTCAAGGCGCGAACACAGACGCGGTGACGTGGGCGTTGGCGAAGTATCTGTACTCGCCTTCCGGGCCGTACTTCATCGTTCCGATGGGTATATTCATCGGCATGGCGCCTACACTCATACAGCGTGCTATCGCATGGCGTTGGCCGAACCTACGGCTTGGACCGGTGCACATCAACGACATTATCTTGCCAATCATCTGGACTGTACGTCATTGATCTTCTTAAAGTGCTATACTCACTGACGCAGGTACTTTCGTAGTCATCTGCGTACACGTACGCCGGCGTCACGTCCATCTACACGACCATCACTCTCGTCGGCATCTTGACGCAGATGGTCTGGCGAGTCCGATACCCGGCTTCATATCGCAAGTACAACTACGTGCTCGGCGGTGCGCTGGATGGCGGTGCTCAAGGTCGGTGTTCTTTGGCAGAAGCGCTCAATAGATGCTGATACATGTTGTGTTTAACTGTAGTGATGATATTCATACTATCGTTCGCCGTCTTCGGCGCGGCTGGTACTCAGCGGCCCTTCCCTTCTGTAAGCTCGTGTTCCCTCCATTGAGACATCTGAGAGCCCATGCTGATGTCGTGCATAGTGGGCGGGTAATCCAGCAAAGGGAAATGCGGATTATTGCAACGGCAATGGAGCTTTGGATTAAGTACGATTGATTGTTTATTTTGTACCCAAAGCATTCGGATCTGTCGGTACCCCCAGTGCTTGACCCAAACCCGCCCCTGATGACATGTGAATCGCTCAGAATGAATGCAAGACGACGAGATGTTACGACGCGCGCAGATTCGACTGCCGAAGCCCAGTCCTTCAGAACGGGATCTGCAATGTGATCTTGATGTCATGAGTACGTGCATGAAAGCACAGACGGCACAGTAGCGCACCTCTTGCACCCGTCGTTCGATCTCGTCCTGTAACTTGTGCCTAGTATTTCGCATCGCGGCGAAGAAGAGCACTCGGCTCTGGCAGACTGAACAGAAGTTCCCGCTGTTGAGCATATTCTCGAGTGCTTCGTCGAACGCGGCATTGAACGCGGAGTGACTGCATCCTTTCATGCTCGAGACAGAATCGACGACGAGCGTCCACCACCAGGCATTGATGGTGCGGTGAGTCAGGACTTGACTTCCCTCCTCGGCCAAACCGGCATTGAAGATGAGACGCGTGTCATCGTGCGAGCAGACACCTGTGACTTTTGTCTCTCCGAGATTTATAGCTTGTATTGTTACCCAGCCGATAGGTATGGCTGGATCGCGGAGGACTTGAAGCGCTGTAAGAGAGGCAGTGTGGTACCGGTGTAGCTCAGCCAAAGCGGTAGCCGGGATGTCCTCGAACTCAGATATATCCCACGATGGGCCCAAGAACGGAAGACGGTCGAGGGTCAATCGCGCAGCAACACGCAACGCATTCTTGTATCTATATCTCCAACTGATTGCATAGACAACCTCTGGCTTCTCCTGAGCGTATCGGCACAACGCGCCATCGACGACCGCCACGAACGAGCTCGAGTCGAACTTTTGAGAGATTGCAGCAGCGCGCTTGATATCGAGTACATTATCGAGCTTGGGGGCTGGACAGAAGGTCCGCGGGTATGAGAGCATCAGCAGGAGCCGTACAGATGGTGCGTCTTCGGCCATGTCTATGATGGCGGGTGCTCCAGTGGTCTGGGCGGACTGGGGCAGGGAGAGCATGTCGGCGAAAAAGGGAGAGATCAAGCGGATGATGCATCGGTGTACGGCAAAGTCGACGCCGTCTGATGAGCGCAAAATCAGGTCTGCATCTTGGGAATTGAAAGTATCATCGAGATCGAGCCCGTTCGAAGTCTTCGCGACGGACATGGTGGAGGAAGACAGGACGCGTTGACGTCGAGTTCGTGTCACGGTGATAGAATCCGCGCGATCCAAACACATCAGAGAGACCAAAGAATTCAGGTTGTATTCGCAGTCCATGTACAGAAGAACGACGAGGAGGTATGTGTTTGTGCAATGGGGTCATCGTGAACAGGAGATCGTGTCGTGTCGAGGTATGTATGATACAGGAGTGGTACAACAAACAAACAACAAAACCAGTGAGGAGAGACAAAGAAGGTGATGGCAAACACGGAGAGGTTGAGCCCTTGTACAGAAGGATAAATATTATGTTGCGTATCGTCTTTCGGTTCTTGTCCACGTCCGGATTCAGGTCATTCAGTCTTGAGACTTCCGGGTATAGCTCAAGCCCGGCTCCCCTCCGTCTTGCCCTGCTCAGACATGACCAACACCGGACTGACCGCCCTAGGCAGCTCCCAGAGTCGATGCAAAGCGCCACCCATATCACCCCCAGGACCCGTCTTGAACCTCCACGCCGAGTCCTGGCCCTTATACTTCTTCGCGATGAGGTCGCCCGCGCCAAACGGCAAAGGCGAGAGGCGGCCGTGTAGTGAGCGACGTTGGCCAGGAGAGAGGAGTTTGTTAGGGAGGATGCGGAGGATGCGGAGGACGATTGTTGGTGAGCCGGCGTCTTCGGGGAAAGGCGATGGTTCGAAGGCGCAGAGGGCGCTCCCTGTAGTCTCATATCAGCATCTCAGTCCACTCCCAAACCTTCTACGAGAGTGAGATCGAGATCGAGACTGACCGTAGTACCACGGCTTGACGGGCATCCACGACCCGAACGCGTTCTCCTCCCACTTGGCGAGCGGGTTGCGGAACTTGAACGCGTGAAGCGCGCCGTCCGGTCTCCGGACGTACATCGACGCGTTGGCGATACCGAAGTTTACCAAGAACGGCTCGCCAAAGCCAGTTACGATATTCGCGCGGGCGGGTGCGGGGTTCATACCGTCGTGCACTTCACGTGCAGAACCGAGTGTGACGCTCGAGGAGGTCGTTGAAGGTGAAGAGGCCGTGATGAGGTCGCGGATGGGTGCCCATTTGGCGAAGGTATTGATGCGGCGGGCGTCCAGACGCCACGGGATGCCGTTCGGCAGTTCAAGGTCGCGGCCCTTTGCAAAGTCCGCGGGTGAGGAAGATTCGGCGAGGCGGAAGCGGAGCATGCCGTCGGCGGAGTAGTAGAAGAAGCCGCGGGTGTCGGGCGGGAAGGGCGTCGAGGGCGCAGTCTGGTAGTGCATTTGCACGCGGCGGGGCGTTGATGAGGCGTCGGAGGGGTTGGCGACGAGGAGCGAGTAGCGGGATTGGAGGGATAGGTCGAGGTAATCCGATGGTTGGAGGCGCTGAATTCGGATATTAGTACACAGATATGGACATAGTATAGACAGTAAGCGCCTATCCAAAGGTAAAGAACTTACCTTTGGGTGGAATGTGCGCACTACAGGGTGTGTATCGAGCAAACTGACCGTCTACAATAACGGATAAGCCAAACGATATCCATCGATAGCACAACAAAAGCCCAACTCACGCTCTGTCTCCTCAGCTGCATCATCGGCTGCAACGACAGGCGCCGAGGATGTGCCGCGCGGAATGTAGGCAGGAGCATCTTGAGGGAGAGGAAAGTGGCGGTGGTCGGGGAAGGATAGAGCTGAGAGCTGACTGCTTTCGGGCGGCTTAGAGCTATAGTGCTTCGGCCCGATAGCCGAACAACAGCGCTGATATGGAACAAACGTGTCTCAAACACGCATGATGCAACGTGTGGGCGGGTGTGTACTTTAGGTAAATGCGTACGGCGATCTTTTAGTCGATATGTGTAAAGACGTACGCCGTATCCTCCTCTGCTGCCTTGACTGCTCTGAGTAAAGTATTCGGACTTCGGACGTACTGTGGGGTGAACCTCGGTGACGCTCTTTCGCCACACGGTCATCGGCGCAGCCATCGCAAGGAACATCAAGGAACGAACGCCCGTTGACGACGCGCTCCTGCATCATCCATCAAACCCCACATCCGTCAACCCTATGCTAGGGTTCAGCGCCACTCGTCTATGACGTCGGCGCGTACATATAACCAGCGCTGCCTCCAGCTCTAGGACTCTACCATCTATCACTACCAACACTCAAACCTTACACTCGCACTTTCATCACATTCAATCTACCATGTCGTCGCAGGATCTCTCGAACACCACCTCGAACACGACCTCCCAGACGAGCAGCACGAGCACGGAGCCCGAAGGCGGCTACCCTCCCCAGCTGCACGCCGGCAAAGTCGGCTACGGGCCCGAGTTCGGCAAGGGCGTCGTACGTCCTCTTCCCCTTCCTCTTGTCATCCACCTAGACTGACGTTGGCATACAGTCCACCGGCACGAAAGTGTCCGGCCTGAAAGAGGAGGTGATGGGCAAGGTCAAGCACGACCCGAGCCTCGTCCAGCACGGGCACGATATGCGCACGGGCCAGCTCGCGCGGAAGGAGCGCGAGGAGGCGGATAAGGATCTGTTCCCTGATGAGGGCGCGCAGAGCGGTGATGCGCCTACGCCTAGCAAGCCTAGTAACGTTGACGCGGGGAGAGATCAACCCGCGGCGGCGCAGGACAAGTTCGACCAGGAGCGGTCGAGTACGGTTGAGGCGGATCGGGACGCTGTGCCGGAGAGGGACCAGCATGCGCGGGAGAACGTGCGGATGGTTTGAACGAGGACATCATGTATTCGAAGGACATTTGGATTGAGAGCATGAATGTATACTATATCTGTACAACAATACCACACCCGTAATGCGCTACAACTGTTCGCAAGAAGTCAATCACAGTCAACAGGCTCTTCATAGAGCACTTCATCCGATCGAGAGTCCTCCGTAAGCTCATCGTCCGCCCACCCCTTCCCCCCACCATAACCTCCCTCGTCGCTCTCCGTCTCGCACCCCTCATCGCTATACTCCGCCCTGTCCACATCATCGCACGTCGGCCCAATCTGCCTTGTCCGCGCAGCGAACAGCTCGATCATGCGCTTGCGGAACTCCTCGCGGCGCGATTCGTGGGTCGACGGGGCGGTGAAGATGTCGAGGGAGGGGTAGATGGAGGGGAAGGTCTCGGTGGTGGTAGTGTCCGGGAGGCGTTTGGCTGGTGGTAAGACCTTTGGCGAGGGCGGGGTGTTGATGGTCGGAGAGGCGCTGATGTCGGAGTACGGCAGGGACGTGTTGGCGAGAGTTCCCTCGGCATCGGACGACGACGAAGAGGAAAAAGATCGCGGCGACGAGTACCGGTCCCGATCTGTATACGCGTACTTCTCCGCAGGCGTCGGGATCATATACACCTGCACCCACTCTCCCCCATCCCCAGCGCCAGACTCACTCGGGAACAAGCCCTCCACCGTCCTTTCGTCCACAACGTGCCGATGAACCTCCTTCTCCCCCTC